TAGGTTTTCTTGCCTCCATGTTTACCACTGTTGCTTAGAGACGGCGGTTGCCGAGATACAGAAACATTGTGGAGTTATGTTGATGACCTAATGAGTGATATCCCCGAGCCACCCCAAATATTTTCATAGGAAGCTAATTTTAGCTTTCAGAATAGTGATGCCAAGTAGCCAAGACCAGTGGTACTCAAGTACTGTACTTAAGTACAATTTGAGGTACTTGTACTTCTATTTTACTTAATACGTCTACTCCAGTATGGTCAAAAGGGAAATATTAAACCGTTTACTTTACTACATTTATCCGTTAGGTGTAGTTACTGGTAGCTTATCGGGTTAAAATTGTATATAAAAAGCTTATAAACTACTACACACGTGAATCAGAACAACTTTTTCTTCTTTCTTCTCCCATTAATCATCTCACAACCCCTATTGGTACTTTTACCTAAGTAAATCTATTACATATTTACAGTAGATATGTTATGTCCAGTAAGGAAGCTGCAGAAGTTCCAGAAGTTGTTATTGTGCCAGAAGTCAGTCAGTCAGAGTTAGCTGTCTCAGTAGCTGAGCTCAGTCCTGCAAGCCTGTTTCTGTCATCAGCAAGCCAACTTCCTGTAGTGCTGCCTTTTGACTGCCTTTGAATGTCCTGTATGTAAACCTCAGACTTCAACCACTTGTCATGTTTACTTCTGGATCACTCTTGCTAAAATAAGTGACAGCCCGGTCAATCTTACATTAGGCCGTATGCTTTCTTGGAATTCTCTCAAGTGTAACTGGTCAGACAAGAGAGCCCCTCCACCCCCAACCCCTCCCTTTACTGTAACTCTGCCTGGCATTTTCCTGCTCTCTCCTGTCTGTCTGTGCAGCAGGGTGACCTCTGCTTTGAGTGGGTGGGGACCGGCGTGTTCAGTTCTAAACATACTGGAAGACCATTTGAAATGTTAGCTTGTTGCCTGTGAGAGCACAGTGCACTGTAACCCAACACTCACTCTCCCTCTCTCACACACACACACATACACACACAGAGCTCTAAACGTAGTGTGTTTGGTTCTGGAGCTTGTTGAATTGTAATTCTCCAAAGCATGTCGATAGCCAAACAGGGAAAAGAGTCATATGTTCGGTTAAATGGAGGTTAAAAGGGTGGGGGAGGCATAGTTTTAGCGACAAATGAAGAAGAGAAATTTAAATCTGGGGGTGGGTGGGGGTGGGGGGGTACCAGCAACACACTAGGTTTGTGAGTGTGTGCGCACAGAGCAGATGAATGTTGTGAGTGTCATCTCAGTGGGGGGTAAACCTCATCTGTGTGATTTACATACTCCATTTGAGCAGCAGGATTATATCATCAGAAACTCATGCAAAGCCAGCTAAATCACACTGAGGAATCTGACATATTCTTCATGCATTGGAAACTGGGGAGATACAGCATGTGTGTGTTTCTAGATGTGGATGTAATTATTTTCATTTTGATTTGAAACTCGTTTTCTGGGCTGTCAAACGCTGATTTCAGATGATAACACCGCTTACATCATTTCTGGTAGCTAATTTGAACCAGCCTGCTCCTGATCTGTCCATTAAAGTCATGTTTATGGATGTCAGAATTAATTAAATGATACATAAAAATGGAACATATTTGTCTGATACTTCTGTGAGCATGGGCATGCAATGTAGCTTTATGGTAGATAGATGCTTCAGTGGGTGGATGATACAGTAGATTAATCTGGTGTGTTGCCTACTGGGCTAAAAGAGTGCAGTTTTCGGTGGCATAATAACCTAGTGGCCTTAATCTGGCTCCATAACCACAGGGGGCTTTCCATTGCTGCTCTCCTCTCCCACTCTTCATACCTTCCTTATGGACACCAGCAGACATGGGTCGGGCACAGAAGGATGCCATGTGTGATCTTAGTGAATCTAACCATCGACAATGAACTGAAAAATGATTAAAGTGTGGCTCTGAGGAGATGTTTCTTACTAAAAAGTGATAAGGAATATATTTTAAAAAGGAGATCAAAATGTGCTCCTCTAATCTGCCAGCAACAACACAGGATCAGTACAGAGGGGGTGAATCATAGTAGTGTGAGAGGCCAGCTTCCACCCTCGGCCAAGTCGAAATCATTCATGGGTGCCTTGGCATCAGGTAGCTGGAGGCGTGGGAGCCTGAGCGTGCCCTTGATGACACACACATAAAGGCATGAAGAACCAGCCCCCAATGGGACTTTTAGGCTTTATCGATGCCCTGCTGGGTCTGCAGTGTGCATCTGCCTCTGAGCGGGGAGGAATCTGATGTTATCTGGCACTTCTGTGCCATACATGTGTGTCATACACTTGTTCAACCACAACGCAGCCATTAATAAGCCCTCAAGCCATGACTTGACATGCATTGTGGTTATTAAACAAACAGCCTGTGGATGCGTGAATCATCTGGAGCTGCACTGTACAAGATTTGTGCCACCGGTAGCACTTCTTGACTGGAAAGATGCGAATTAAGATATTGTAATCACATTGTTTCATCATTGCATACTGCATTGCAACTATTTTCTTAAGCAAATAATTCATTTTTCAAGTCAAAACTGCTGAAGATGTTGTGATTGCAGCTTTTTAACTGTGAGGATTATATCTTATAGCTTTAGGTTTTAGAGAGATGCTTGGACAGACAAGCAATTTCAATACATCACCTTTGGCTCTGTGAAATTATAATGCCCATTTTCCACTACTTTGTGACATTTTATAGAAAACATTGACATCCACTTCACTGAACGTGGTCATTATATTGATAGGAGTGCAATAAAATGGTTTTGTTGTACCATGATACCTTGTAAAATACAGGGTCATTTGCAAGAACTACTGATAAATGTTATACCATCAGTGTGAATGATAAAGGATTTATACAACCACATGTAACTATTGGAATCACTGAAGGAGAGGACATAGGCTACATGGCTTCAGCAAGCAAGGTACAACATTGCTAAGAAGGACACAGATTTCTGGGGAGATTAAGAAGATTATGTCTAAAGCAGAGTGGGAGAAGTGGAGCCTTAATGTACTTTAACTTATTGAGGGGGAGGTCTTAACATTGTGATGAGTGGGATGTAAGGAAAGACACTATAACACTAAATACAAATATGTAATGATTTGTCAATTTTGAAAATGAAATGAATTCCTTATGTGACTTTGTGAGAAAATAGCAGCTCTATGAAATCCTAAATATAGCCAGTTCCAAACAGTTCCCTCCATTGTCTTGTTCAGCATAGCCAGCATTCCAGATCTGGTTGCATATACTGTACATACAATATATGACACAATGAGCAAGGGCCACCAAACCACTGCAGTAGCTACTGCAGAGTCTAGACTACACACATTCCATAACTGCATGTCTTTTGTCTCCACATTTAATGTGTGTGTGTGTGTGTGTGTGTGTGTGTGTGTGTGTGTGTGTGTGTGTGTCTTTCTCTTTCCGGTCTTGTGTCTGTCATCCTTTTGTTTTCCATAGGGATACATCTGTTCTTTGTCCTTGTCCATTTTGCATTCTTCACAAGGTTAAAGCTGCCGTCTGTCTATTTGTTGTCATAACTCTTCCACGTGTTTCTTTCATCTTTGTAGCAACACTGACGTGACTGAGATTTCTTTTTACCTTTCAAGATGCATTGGGACCAGCGGTCCTCGATCACACCTCCTAGTCTGCCCATAGGAAGCCTTAGATCTGTGCTCCCTGCTGTCTGATGCTGATATATATCTCATAGCTCCTCATGGACATCCCCTCTCTGCTTTCCGGTGCTAGAGGACAGGGTGCAGTCTTTGTCTGCTCTGATTGAGACTGAATCACAGTGGTTGTTAGTGGCCCAGATTCAGATTCAGAGTATGAACCCAAACGAGGCCCTCTTCCTTTTACTCCTCTACCCACTCACTCTCTTGTCTGTCCCTAATTATAATGTGCTTGAGCACAATTAACGGCCTGGGTTTAGTCCTCAAAGGAAATCGTCTTTCACCTTGCTTTTTCTAAAGCTCTCTGTATCTTTAATACTTTAATAGTGAACGTGAAAATAAAAGTGCAGACAAGTACTTTTTTTGTCGTACAGATCTCAAGGCGTGTTGTTGTTGTTGGTGACTCAGCTCAGTTTGTGTGAGACACTTTGGTGCAGTGTTTCAGTCCTTAAAAAGCTGCCTGCCCTGTATTAGTTACTGAGTGAAGGTGATGCCCACCTCTGTCTCTGTGCCAGCAGACACCTGCAGGAGGGATCTGTTGAAGGACGGGACTGTGGCAGATGTAGACACACTAGGGTGGTGTATGCGTTGTGCTACATCATACTGCAACATGCATTAGCAAAAACAACATGTAAGATGTAATTCCCCTAGTTATATGTTGTAATAGCTGTAACATTAGCTTGGAGCTGCTTAATGATGCAGTTTTTGTGCTTTAGGGAATTCCCTTACCAGTTAAGAAAATAATCCTACATAACTTAGTGCCATATATATTACCCTTTTGTCCTTAGTTCCGGCAGCTGCTAATGCTGAGTGTGGCTTCCCCAACCTGGCCTCTCTGTTAAGTCCACAGGCATAAGAGCTATTTACTCAACAGAGTCAGTGGGACATTGAATCCTAAATCTCTTCCCTTCTTCACGCTCCACTGGCCCAATTATGAACCCAATCACAGCAGCACCTACCACGAGGAAACGCCACTGTGCGGAAGCAAATGAATGAGTGAATAAATAAGGGAAGGAGTGACGGAAGAAGTCAAGCCAGGAATTTGGGAAATGTAGAAAGTAAGAAAGGAGTCTGAAGTTTCATAAAAAAATCGGGTTTTGTTTTCAATGCACATGTTTTCAATTCAAAAAGCTATTTATGTCAGCATAGACAATGGGAGGTTTCCTACTGTGAGAAGTGCAGCTGCATCTTATTGAGTGTGAACATGTTCTGACTGCTAAATTGTATCAATGCTAACCATGTTATTTCTTCTCTCTCTGTCTCCCGTGGGTTTCCTCTGTTTATGATGGATTGCCCCTCTCATACAGCAGGAAACAACCTAAGGTATGTAAGTTTCATCTGTTTCTGTTGCTACAAAAAAAAAGAACTGGCCAGCATTTCAGAGCTGACACGCAGTGTCAGCAGGAACAGTCTGACTTTTCAGTGCAAGTAGCCATCTGTAGTGACTTCTTACTGGCTGTCCTGGCATCACAGATACTAAAATCATCCAGAAGTGCACAGGCAACACTATTGCCCCGAGGGGCTGAGAAACACCCTGCACTGGTTGGTCTACTGTTGTGGTGTTTCTAGGGACGTGATTGAGAGTGTTTTAGTAGTTTGGTTGGTCAGCAGGAGCCGGATAGATGTCCGTGTGAATGTGTCAGCGCTCTAAGATCTCATGAACACCCACAAAGGCTCTACAATGAGAGAGGGATGAGCGGGGACACTGGTGCAGTGTGTGTGTGCATTCAAAGCTGCATTGTTGGAGTGCACCCCCACCTCCCCCCTTGACAACACGCTGGTGACTAGCTCAGAGATGTTTCACACACCATGGACGGGCTTTGTGCTCAGTACACTCGGCCGCTGACAGGACCAGGGAGCATGGGCCACGGGCGTGCGTGGTCTCTGGGGCCCGTGAACCTGAGTTACCCTGTAATACCCTTCAGCTAGACGAGCACGTGGCTGTCTGCTAAGTTATAGTGGCACTCAAATTAGTGTCCCTACATTCGAAATGGTAAACGGAGGTTGCAGTCCTATCGCGTTCGACCAGTTTTAAGCCTAGAAATGACAAAAAGGGCATTGTGCGTCTCAGCTTCATCATTATTTGCACTGCTGATTAATAGTAATTGTCCAATCAGAAGCAATTTGTCGCACAGTCACACCCTCAGGCTGGCCAGAGACAGAGCGGAGGAGAAGGACCCCTAGTTACCAAACCAGCCCTAATTGAGAATGATGGCACTTTTGTTTCTTTGAATGGCACCCACTCACTTGTGTGAAGTCACAAGAGGAGGTCTTGCTTTCAAAGCACTGAGTAATCTCAGTGATTCCCATGCTGACTGTGCAACCAGTGGTTCCCTGGCCAATAGCCCTTATTATGATTAGAAGGGAGTTCAATTATTTGGGGTATTTGTGCAGGGGAAAGTGCTTTGGCAGAGCAGCAGCAGTGCACTGAGAGCCAGGAGTAGTAATGTGCAGCAGTGTTGTGCTTGCACTGCAGGATGACAGTGCAAGCTTGAAAAAAGAAGTGCCTGAGCTAGGATAAAATATTAGTTTGGTGATTTCTTTGTTCAACCAGGAAAGCCATACAATACAATGCAAAAGACATATGAGACAATTCTGTAATAACATTGAAACAACTCAAAGGGGAAATAGAAGGGGAACATTATATACGTGAGGTTCAAGTGGATTTGCAGCATATACAGTAACAGGAGCTGTTCTGTCTGTGAGAAGTAGGGGGCCTTGGTAAATGACAGATACCAGGACAGTCAGTGGCCTCTCTGTGTGCTGTCCATCCAGAGCTCATGCAGGTGCACACAAGGGGTCTCTGCTGCTGCTGAAGTCTGTGTAGTGAGACCCAGCGCTGAGGGCTGAGAGCCAGCCTGCACCACCGGGAACAGCTACGGCCCCGTTTCCTTGGAGACGAGGGTCACCGGGTGCTGGAATTTCTTCTAGGGAGCGCTGACCCTGATTTATGAATTCATTTAACTCCAGCCACTATGACAAAACACGCGGCAGCTAACAGTGGATTAGTGCAGACAGTCATGGCGTGATCCTAACGAACAATACTCAAATAGAATTCATCTTACTCACCTAGACAAGCTCAGTCCTGTTGATTTACTGTTTGGTACTGCATAATAAGCCTGTTTTTGTACAACAGAAGAAGTAAGACCACTACTGAGATCAGGTTGTGTTGTAGTGTACATGCTTGGACAGGTGTGAGAAGTGTGTGTTTACTCTCCATGTGCTGTCGCCTCTGCAGGTGTTCGCTTTTGACCACTGTTTCTGGTCTATGGATGAGTCCAACGTTCCCAAATATGCCGGTGAGTCATAAATGCTGTGAAACTGATCCTACAGTCATCACCAAAGAAGTCAAATCATGCCCAATGTAATGACCTGCTGAGCCTTGTACAGCAATAGTGCAGGGAAACTCCCTACTTGATGGAAAGCTGTTTTTGCATCATGCAAAGCAAAGCACGGTGGTGTATACGGTAATTTGCGTTTTTAGTGAATACATTAAAATATTCTATTAAGGTAGTTGTCTTTGTATTGTCTGTGAACAATAACACCATCAGTGGGGTTAAAAAAAAAATACTGGACAGTTGTATTTGTACCATATTTTAATTACGTAATCATCCACCTGTGTTATACTTCTTATGTACCCACCCACGTGGTTAATTCAATTTCTTCAGCCACCATTCACTCTCTTCTACTATTCATGTCTCTAATGAGTGCAGCACAGAAAAGGATACAGCTACAGTTTTTGTAACATCTATAGAAAAGAGGGTTATTACTGCCCCATCCGAGACAGATTTAAATAATCATTGTAGATATTTTTCCTTGTCATTTCGCTCTCATTTTGTGATGGAAATGTAATGCGTACATCTGCTTTGTGCTGAACCGACAAGGCAATCTGTTCAGTGAAGGGCTGCCTCAAGGGCCCAGGCCAAGGCTTTATTTAGCTCATTAAACAGCTGTCCCATTCAGCAGGAGCATGACAGTGAGCAACACAAGAGATTTCTCTACACAGCCTAGCATTTTCCACACGACCAGACAGGAATCTATCACCTTTCATGAATCTTATTCTTCCTTGTTTCTTGTTTAGTGGCCCGTGTCGATGCATTTCTCTGTTTTCATTTTACTACACTAATTAAAGGATGCAAACCAGACAACTAAGAGTACTTACGTAACTGATTGTTTTATCTATTTACCATAGTCTCCATGGTTTCTGATTCTTTGTTTAAAAGGTCAAGAGGTGGTGTTCAAGTGCCTTGGAGAGGGAATACTTGAAAATGCATTCCAGGGATATAATGCCTGCATATTTGCCTACGGACAAACAGGTAACTGAAAATCCAGATGAAATCTACACTCATTTCTTTTCAGAATGTTACGTCTTTAAGTACATTTGCAGGTCAAGTTGTTTCCAGATGTGTCCGTAGAAAGTTTAAAGAACAGGAAGACTTGTATTTCTGATCACACTGGTGATCACTTGGCTCATATCCTCCTCTGCCCTGAATCAAATTAGCTTCTGTATCCAACTTCCTGCCTTAGAGACAAAAAGAGACAGACCTACTGAAAAGTTTGAAGAGAAGAGCACACATATTTCAGTGGCCCTCCAGTCACCTGATGCATAAGAGAAAAAGTAGCACATTATTCATAATGGGAACAAGAGAGGCACATGACATTTGGTTTGATGTCTAAGCAGTATTAGTCTAATCAAGAACTCTAATAAAAAAAAAAAGGACAGAAAACCACAACAAAAACATGCTACTTAACTGTGTTGCACTGACACTGGCCATCTGTCTACTTTTTTAGTGTCTCTAGCAGTGTAGCTCTAGGGATGGCAATTGGTCAGTCCGGTCCACCATTTTGTTCAAAACTGCACAGTCATTTCTGGTTTCCAGACAGTGAATCTTAATGACTTTGGTCATCATCTGACTTATACATTAGCACCATCATCAGGTCAGAATTTAAAATATAGCATATAATTATCAAATGTTCGCATGCTAAACTAAGATGGTGACCATGATTAACATTATACCTGCTAAACATCAGCATGTTTAGATTGTCATTGTCAATGTTAGCATACTGACATTAGCATTTAGCTCAGAGCACCACTGTGTCTAAGTACAGCTTATCATTTTCTGCAGATAGACTCAAAAAATGAATTAGAGAAATAATTTCTGGAAACAAACACTTTGTGGTCATAATAGAGACCTAAATTAAGCTTTACTGTTATTGAAGCCCTGCCCTGTGCAGACCAACCTCTCTTTGTCGGATACAATGACTCTGCAATGTCTTTCCAGGTTCAGGCAAGTCCTTTTCCATGATGGGAAATGGGGAGCAGCCGGGTTTAATCCCTCGACTCTGCTGCTCGCTGTTTGAGAGGGTCCACAGAGAGGGGAACGAGGGTCATACTTTTAAGGTGGAAGTGTCCTACATGGAGATCTACAATGAGAAGGTCCGTGACCTGCTCGATCCCAAAGGGTGAGTCTGATGTGTGTTCTTGTATTTTTTCTTCAGAATAAACACGTGAGATTAGTGATCTAATGCTTTGGTAATGCGTTTGGCCTGCCGGTGACCGACACAGCTGGTTGCACAAACCGTAGTATCATTTTCTCATAGTCTTGATTCACTGCAGCACGAGTAGTGACCTCTCCGTAAGCTCCCACTTTGTGTTAGTTTGCATCTCTGTTTATAGCTCTGTTGTGTCTAGTAGCCTGAATGGCGGACGGCGACAGAAGGGTGCTTGTAGGAAGCTCAACCCAGTCATTTCCTGCAGAACAGCGGCCAGCATCGTCCTCTGACACTGCTGCATTCTTTGCCTCTGTGGTCTGATGTGGGTTGGCAGACAGACTGCAGGGGAGAGCGAACTGTGAAAGCGCGTGTTTCAGGGACATCTGTTAGTGAAGCTGGGAGCAGGAGAGTGGTCAGAGCAGCCTGTGAGCCGAGCCCCACAGAGGGACTACAGTGGAGCGCTCTGTGTGCTGCAGATGTCTGAAGATGCAGCCAGACCCATCTCGATGGCAACTTCCTCTCGCTTATATAACAACCCCCACACTCTCTTGATCTTCCCATCTATCTGCCTCAGTGATTGGTAGGATCAAACATTGGCTGTGATATAGATGAATATACAGGATTCCTGTCACACATAGTGGTTGCATCCTCTTCAGGATTCTCTGATGACTCTTACTCATTATGGGGCGGGAGTAGCTCAGTGTGTAGGGACTTGGCTTGGGAACCGGAGGGTTCAGACCACAAAATATGTAGTTTGGACTGGTAGCTAGAGAGGTGCCAGTTTCACCTCCTGTGCACTGCTGAGGTGCCCTTGAGCAAGGCAACCTTAACCCAAAACCTGCTCATGGGGCGCATCACTCCACCATCTCTCTCCCCTTTGCATGTCCACAAGTGCATGAAGTGTGCATTTCAGCCTGTGTGTGTGTATAAAAAGAGTGAAAAGAACAATTTCCCCTAGGGGATCAATAAAGTATATCTTCTTCTTCTTCTTCTGATCTATATAACTTCTCCTCAACACCTAGTGAAACACCTTTCTACCCCCAGTTTAAATTTGTGACACCGCACATTTATCTTATTAGAATGTAATTCACATTTTGATCAGGAAAGTAGGTAGTAGATCACCTTGGTTTATTGGTAGATAACAATAAACAAACAAAATATAAATAAAGATGAAAGCAAGTACTGCAGCCAAGAGGAATAAATCCAACATTATCATGCATTATCCTAAAAGAAGTTGACATACCATGACAACATTATAGAGATGAGCTGTGTTCCTTGATATTGATGAACACGGGCACTGTAGATCCCACACACACATTCCTATTGCCCTAAACATTAGAGTAACCAAATGTGCTGCTGAAAATAGTTCCCAGCCTTACATTTACTCCAGTTTAGTAACGCTAGTTAAAAACTACAGTGCCCAGTTTTTTTGAGAAAAATATTTAGTAGTAAATTAAGCATTTATGCATGTTTTTAAAGATTAACATCTTCTGGGCGTGGGACTGAGAGCCACAGGAAGGCTGGGGAAGTCAGATGGAATAACTAATTGGTTGTGTTAGGCTTTCTTAATAAGATTTGTCAACAACAGAATATAGCTAGCCTTGTTCTTTAAGGAATTCAGAAATTATTTTTTATTTTTTGTGACAACTTGGCATCAAACTCCTGTTAACATTTTATTGCAGTTGTAGCATATGTTCGTGAAGAGTTAATTATTTCAATATTGCATGCAGGCCATTCATTCATTTTCATGATTCATGATTCAAACAGAAACATTTTGCCAGAGATATTTATGCTATTGAGGTTATTCTGTTACCAAATACCAGCAAGATGCTGTTTCTAATTTTCTAGAAACGAATTTGAACTAATGTTCCAAGAGGAGTGTAAATAAGTCACATGAGCTTCTCTAAACTCTGAAGGATTCACTTAAGTTTTTATTCTGATCAAGCACTCGAGGTCAGAGGAGATGTGTTCAGTTTCTCTGGAGAGAGAATTTGTGTGAAGTGTGAAGAAGTGTTGCATGAAAAGGACTTCTTAGAGAGAGGAATGTTAAATCACATGTGCATTATGAAACCTTGGTCACATTTGATTAATTCTTTCTTTACACGCATATGTCTCTAATTGGAAATGGTAAGAATTTCTCCCTTTTTCTTCTGTTTCTTTTACTCATTGTGTTGCCTTTTCTATTTTTGAAGGAGCCGACAGTCCCTGAAAGTTCGGGAGCACAAAGTCCTGGGTCCATACGTGGATGGTCTGTCTCAGCTGGCTGTGACCAACTTTGAGGTGTGCCTCTCACCCTTCTGTCATCACACTGCAACCAGAGGAAAAGCTGAATCTTCATCACTGGCCTCATATTTCACATACGCATAGGGTTGATTTATAGCACGCAGCAGAAATGCCTTTATATCATATCCCCAGTTGTCATAATTTACATTCGGAATAACCATTTCATTTCATATCCTGCTGAAACACTAATGACGCATATTCCTGATGTGGGGATGTAGTCATGGGGTTTCATGAAGTTTGTATGCCAAGCCTTGGCAGGGCCTTCCTTAATTACGTTTAAACATCTCCACCCTGTTCCTCTGTGCTCCACTCTGCCTGATATTAGTCCAGTGCATTGCCCACCGCCGGGTGTGACCCAGCTAAATCACATGGCACACAGCCATATGTGAATGCCGTTTGACTTTATTGTTAAGTTTTGCCTTAATCCAGTGAAATACTTTAAAATGTTGTATTTTTTTTAAACTTCCTTCTCCTTTTATGACCTTTCACTCTATCTTTTTAGGACATTGAGGTATTAATGTCAGAGGGGAACAAATCTCGCACGGTTGCAGCCACCAACATGAACGAGGAGAGCAGTCGATCACATGCCGTCTTCAGTATCATTGTCACGCAGACACTTTATGATCTTCAATCTGGGGTCAGTTTTTTCACCCACTTGTACAGTGAACTGTTACTTTATTTACTGAAACTAATAACCTCATTTGTGTTTAAAAGTCTAATTTTTCCAATCATGGGTCCTACTAACTGTTTGTCCATGCTGTGATGCTAAACAGAATTCAGGGGAGAAAGTGAGCAAGTTGAGTCTCGTTGACCTGGCAGGAAGTGAGCGGGTGTCCAAGACTGGAGCAGCTGGAGAGAGACTCAAAGAGGGCAGCAATATCAACAAGTGGGTACATTTTTTAATATGAAAGGCATTCAAATGTATGAAGTCCAGTTAATTGTTTGATAGGTTAATACTGATAGGGCTCATATGTTTTTGTGTGTGTGTGTGTTTGCGTGTGTGTGGTTGTAGGTCTCTCACGACACTAGGCTGTGTGATCTCTGCTCTGGCTGATCAGTCAGCAGGAAAGGGGAAGGCCAAGTTTGTGCCATACAGAGACTCAGTCCTCACCTGGCTACTGAAGGTTTGACCCACAAATTACACATATGTGACCTGCTCCATCATTTTGAGTCACTTTGACCCAGAAACACATTTTGAGTTTTCTTCATGGCTGTAAAGAGGAAAGTCTCAGCTTTATGGCGAAACCAAAATTATTTTTCTACTCCAAAAATTGTATGAGACACGCTCTTCCAAAGGTCGACTGTCACCAAACCTTGTTTTTGAGAAAAAGGGCTCTAAAGACAGCAATCAACATTGTCTGTAATAAGGTCGATCCAGTTGTCGTAGCATTTCTTACAGGAATTGAATTTAAAAGTCGAGCAATTTCGTCGTCGCGAAAATTCATTTTGTCTAGGCTGTCAATCTGTCAATCTGTCTCTGTGTCCGTGTCGATCTAAACTGACAGTTGACAGATGACGTAGATGACACAAACACGCTAGCTGGTGTTTTGAACTCTGACACCTGTTTCGTTTTATTTATGCTAGCTATATTTATCCTTTGTATTTTACATTAATTTTGACATGGTATGAAAGCTGAGACTTTATTTAATTAGAAACATGTAAAAACTGAAAATAGCCCAAAATTGTATTTTCTTGTAAAAACGTGTTTCTACAAAAACGGGCCACTGCGACATCCGACTCATTTTGATGGAACGCGTCACATATTTATATATTTGGTTGTTAAAATTATACATCATTGTTGTAGGCCTGCTGAAAGGTGACCATAAATTGCCTTTTGCATCATACATGTAGACTGAAAGGACAAATATGGCGGCTACATTTCCTTTTGACATGTTTTTGTGCCTTCAGGACAACCTTGGCGGCAACAGCAAGACAGCCATGATAGCCACAGTGAGTCCAGCGGCTGATAACTACGAGGAGACTTTGTCCACGCTACGTTATGCCGACAGAGCCAAGAGAATCGTTAATCACGCCGTGGTGAATGAAGACCCCAACGCTCGCATCATCAGAGAGCTCAGGGAGGAAGTGGAGAAGCTCAAAGTTCAGCTCTCTCAGGCCGAGGTGAGAGGAGGGATTGGGTGGACCGAAGAGGCTCACAAATTATGAATAAACTCATACCAGATTCGTCATCCATCACATCCAGTTTGTACTGATGCTGATTGTTTTTTCCCCCATTGTTCCCATCAGTCCATGAAGGCTCCTGAGCTGAAGGAGAAACTGCATGAGTCTGAGAAACTCATTCAGGAGATGACTGTCACCTGGGAGGAGAAATTGAGAAAGACAGAGGAGATAGCCACTGTATGCACATCGGTCATAAACAGACTCAAACCTTTCATTCATCGGCATATTTATACGTACAGTCACACTGTTATTATCTCTGTTTACAGGAGCGTCAGAAGCAGCTTGAGAGTATGGGTATCTCTCTGGAGACATCAGGGATTAAAGTGGGTGAAGACAAGTGCTTCCTGGTCAATCTAAATGCGGATCCTGCCCTAAATGAGCTACTGGTCTACTACCTGAAGGTAATACCGTTTTTACAATTTTGATAATGCAATACTGGATCGAGTATGACAACGAGTAGCTCATACAGTGCTACACAGTCCCTTCATCGCCACCCTGCTGCAGTTTTATGTTTTGCCATTTGTACATCTTTGCAGAGAATTTCAGACATTGCCATGTCTTTCAATAGTCATAAATTGTAAATATATCATCAAAATGAAAGATACATTGGTCTACCTCATCACTATACTATGGTGAAAACAAGTTTGTCTCTTTAAAAACAATTGTATGGGTTAAGGCCATGAATGGATGGAAGACGTTGGTGCTGCGTTGTCATGTTGTTCGCAGCAAACGCTGTAACTTTTGGTCTAAATGAGCTCCAAAAGTCACAGATCCAAAAGAATTCATAAAGTTTGTACAAAAGCCAAAAGGTTATCTGTATAACCGTCTCATTTAGGGGATTAGTTGCTTTAAAAAAAGCCACTTAGTCACATTCATTCCCTGCTATTACAGTATATTGTTAACCACACAGACCCACTACCGTCCGCATACCACAGCTGTAATATTTACCATCAAATTAGGCCTGAAACATAGCACACAAGTTGTGGTGATCCAGATGAGAGGAGTCCAGTAAGCACGGAAGTGGAACAACCAACCAGTTAGCTGGACCTGTAAGAGCAGAGGCATGTGAGAAAGCAGCCTGTGCAGAACAACAGGCCTTTGTCTGGGTTCTGCAGGCTAGCCTGGCATATCAGTGTGGAATGAGTGAAGTGGGTTAGTTCGCTGCAGGGTAGAACATCCTTTAGAAGCTGGGATGTTTGTTTAACAACGCCCACTCTTGCAACGAGAGAGACACAGGTTTTTTTTCACGTTGGCCTGGTTTTGCTTTGGTTTTACTCTTGAGTTTTGTGAAATTAAAGAGTTACCTAGTTTTATGATTTTGCAACTGACAATACTCTTGTCCGCAAATTGCTACGGAGGTTATGACGTGACAGTTGGAACAGGATGTTATGTGTAATTATTTTCAGATACGTCATTATAGTTTCCTTAATCTGTCCTCCACCTGTGTGTAGGAGCACACGCGGGTGGGCGCAGACACGTCTCAGGACATCCAGCTGTTTGGGATCGGTATCCAGCCGGAGCACTGTGTCCTGGAGCTCTGCCCAGATGGTGATGTCACCCTGATGCCCATAGGGAATGCCAGGTGAGCTAGCAGACAACTACCTCCAACATACACTGTCTATCTCTGTCTATATCTCTGTTGTCTCTCTCCTTCATGGATGACTGGACCTCAGTGTTTCACATGACCTCACTGTACAGGAATCTATGATCTGAGCTCCCCGCTTTGATATCAGAGCCATGTCTCCCTCCCACTACAAAGAGACTGTTCTCTCTCAATTAGTTTTCCCTGTTTAAAGATGAAGATCATAATGCCATCTGACATCTTCATTATTAGAATTAAATGAATCTGTTTTTCGACAGGACCTGTGTGAACGGAACAATGATTGATTCCTTGGTGCACCTGTGGCACGGAGATCGTATCCTATGGGGCAACAATCACTTCTTCAGGTATATGACTTGTCATAGTGTGGCCACATTCAAAGGTGGCATGAAATTAAAAAGCCACTGATTGGGAATCATGTTCTGCAGGATTAATCTCCCTAAACGCAAGCGACGGGATCGTTTAAAGGAGCTGGACAGAGCTTCTCCCAGAGAGAGCTTTGTTGAGGCAGATGTGGAGACTGCCAGTGAGGCCTCTTCTGAGCAGGACTACAGCTATGAGTTTGCCCAGATGGAGGTCATAATGAAGACTCTTGGGAACAATGGTATGATTAGGATAATCTGCATTCTGCAATCTACAATTTCTTTTAGGTTTTCAGTCCACAGTTGTAAACTAGGGTTTCTAAACATTTAGCTGGTTCCAGCTACTGAAATAATAACATCTTTTAGAATGCCATTACTGTAAAACAATACTTTCCCCCTTTATCTTGAATATAGAAAAGTCAATTTATGACTTCTGGCAGAAAACCAAAACACATGCGCAAAGGGGATATGATGCTATTGACAGGTGACCAGTGAAACATATCGTTACCTGAATCAAATTATGTTTATTTGAGATAATATATGTACACAACTCAACAAAATATGTAACATAGGTCTAGTGTTTATAGACATTTTAATGTGGAAATGTAACATTTTTTACTTCTTGTGGAAAAAGATTATTGATTTAGGGTTTCCAAAGAAAATCTTAATCTATTTTTTGATAACTTTATTTGTCATGAGCTCTGGTGGTTTACTGTCTTTGTCCTTTACTGAAGAAACTTTGCCCAGTACTGCTCCTGTAAGTCATTATCAAGACTTGTGTATTGGATTGTAAAATGTGTTGCTTCTCGTGTGTATAGACCCTATGCAGAATGTAGTCCAGGTGCTGGAGAAGCAGTACCTGGAGGAGAAGCGCACAGCTCTGGAGGAGCAGCGGATGATGTATGAGCGAGAGCTGGAGTCGCTACGGCAACAGCTGTCTCCCGAGAAAACACTGCAACACCACCGCAGCAGCAGTGACCGCCTTACGTTCCCGACGCACACACCACACAGCAAGCTGCGACTGTGGACAGAGGAACGGTTAGTGGAGTGCAGTTACTCACACACTGATACACACCTGTCACTATGTATTATTTTAAAATCAAAGTATATTTCTTTAACATTTCTGCAACATCCGCCTTATTAGGTATACCTAGTTATATGAACATGTAGCAGCAAAATGTGTCCCAGAATATCCTCAGATTTTTAAAGCCGTAGTCAGTAGACGTTGTTCCCGTGTTACTCTCATTCCTGCTCAAAGTATCATTTGAAAACATTTAAACACTGAGGGTAAATAACAGGTGATAGGTCTTCATCTTCATGAATGAATGATCCCTGTGTTCTGTCGTCTGTGTGTGTGTGTGTGTTTTGTGTGTGTGTGTGTGTGTGTGTGTGTGTGTCAGGGATGAGCTTTTTCGTCAGAGCCTTTCTCGACTCAGGGAGCAAGTCGTGAAAGCCAACACCTTGGTGCGAGAAGCCAACTTTTTAGCAGAGGAGATGAACAAACTGACTGACTATCAGGTCACCCTTCAGATTCCTGCAGCCAACCTCAGCGCCAACCGCAAGGTCAGACCTCTGAACCCCCCACTACCAAATCACATTAGTGCAGGATATGGTATCTCGTTGGTACAGATTTTATGGTCGTCTTTTTAAGCCTTTAGTTGTGATATTTCAAGTTGTGAAAAGCTACTGAAAGATAGGAAGTGTCTCAATCTGTTAATATGTTTTTATGTAGCGTGGAGCGATAGTGAGTGAGCCGGCCATTCAGGTTCGGAGAAAAGGGAAGGGGACCCAGGTTTGGACCATTGAGAAGCTGGAAAACAAACTGGTGGATATGAGAGACCACTACAGGGACTGGAAGGAAGGCACAGAGGAGACGGTAAGAAACGAAGGATCAGAAGGAAGAAAAGATCATTTTTTAAAATTTGTATTAATTTGCTTATTCAGGCGTTCCTCTTTTTTTTTCAGTATAACAAGCCAAACAGTAATTACTGTGACCTATTCTATGAGGCTCAAGAAAACCACAACCTGATAGGAGTGGCCAACATTTTTCTGGAGTGCCTTTTCCATGATGTCAAACTGCAATATGCTGTCCCCATCATCAGCCAGCAAGGAGAGGTAAGGACACAGACATACAGAGATTAATACACAAATAGATTACTCATGGTGCAGCTTTCCAATTGTCTAAATACATCAGGCCCATATGAAAGGATGATGTGCATACATTTAAAATGAATAATATACTGTATATAATGTATTCCTCACCAAAAGGTTTATAAGTTTATTTATTAAGTCCATTTTTAAATAGGTGGGGCACATGCATATGTATAGGGAATAGACTATTGAAGACATTTTTGAATGGGGAAGATGATGTCTCCCTACCATGTGTGTACAGGTAGCAGGCAGGTTGCACATTGAGCTGATGCGAGTCAGTGGAGCCGTACCAGAGCGCCTGTCTGGGGGAGACGACTCATCAGAGAACTCCAGTGAGAGCAGCTGCTATGAAGTGATGGACACTAACGGGGAGATTGTCCACATGGCCAAGAGGCTCACCTGCAGGGTAAAAAGATTATTTTTGTCCTCAAATGCACAAACATTCAACTGGGAGATATTCTTCTAAGACAAACTGATGACTTTCACAGTACACAATCAGCGCTCAGTGACTCAGCTTCATCCTTTGCTTCGTCTCTTTGCTGCAGGTGCGGGTCAGGGAGGCTACAGGTCTGCCGCTCAACCTGTCCAACTTTGTCTTCTGTCAATACACCTTCTGGGAGCACGGTGAGCCTGCTGTGGCTCCTCCCATGGTCAGCCCAGATAGACCTTCCCCTCGAAGCCCAGATGCCCAGTTTACTGTCCAGTTTGATCACTGCAAGGTAAGTGAAACTGTGCTGCTGATTGTCTTTTTGTTAGATACGTTTATTTTTAACTCAACTGCAAACCTCTTGTCTTTGTGCAGGACTATGTTGTGCATGTGACGGATGAGTTTTTGGAGTTTATATCAGATGGAGCATTGGCCATAGAAGTGTGGGGTCATCGCTGTGCTGGGAACGGACGTTCACTCTGGGAGTTAGACGCACTGGAGGCCAAGACCCAGACGCTCAGAGACAGGTACATATATCTCATGTTGCAGTCAGACCTCTGCACGCACAGACACACACAGACACTGACTTATTACACATTTCTAATCTTGGCTGTTTAGGTGGAATGAGGTGTCTCGCAGGATTGAGCTGTGGATCTCCATCCAGGAGCTGAATGAGCAGGGAGAGTACTCATCTGTGGAGCTGCATCCTGGAAAAGACATCAGCACCGGAGGAGTCTTCCAACTCCGACAGGTCAGAGCAAAACTATGAGCAAGTTCCCCTTTAGGTCAGACTGGCTGCCCTACATCAAACACACACTTAAGAGGATCATAACTAATTATGTAATTCTAAACAACCTTGTACATGTAGTACTTTTGAGAGTGCGGTGCTGGAAGCACTCTGATATTAAATTATGGGGATTTGTCCAAGCAGGGTCACTCCAGGAGGCTGCAGGTGTGTGTGAAGCCGGTCCAAAACTCAGGCACTCTGCCTCTGTTGGTGGAGGCTGTGCTGTCTGTCTCTATCGGCTGTGTGTCTGCTCGCTCCACCAAACTACAGAGACCACTCGACAGCTACCAGGTCTGTGAAACACAAGTACACATTTTTGCATATACTCACATGCTACTTACTGTAGACTATGAACCTATTGTGTTGAGAAAAATAGGATGAGGATTTGTATGCAACTGATTCTGCATTAAAATAGAGCAGTGTTTTTGGGAACAGAATGCTTGTTTCATGCCAGTGATACACAATATTATGCTGATCCACCCAAAGTATGTTATGTCCATCTCTGGTTTCGTGCCATGACTGGTTCATCTGGATAGCTGGCAGTGAGTCTAAAGAAGCCCAATGAATGCACAAACTCATTAGTGCCCCGTTTGCTCTGTTAACATGACCTGATATGCCCTGATGTAGAAAGGAAGCAACAAATTGATCAACTCTAGAGTAGTCATGGGATCTGTTCTTGCTACTATAGCTAACATCGTAGCAACATCATGTCTTAGCAAATTATAAAATAAGCTGAATGTCCGTAATATAACGTTACCTGACACACAAGTGTATTGTGTGGCTCGGTTCAATCCACTTTGTTTGTTTCGCATTTACAGAGCCATGGCTGTACACATACAGCAGCACACAGAGAGGAAAGCTAGGACCGTAAGGAGATGTTTGCAGAATTCAATTAGAATTGCAATAACTACAATCTCATACCCAACCTTAAATGTTCCACTCCTATAAAAATCAAAACAGTATATTCTGGGCCTGGTTATAAGACAGTTACATGAGCAGTGAATGCTAGGCAATGAGTTGTCATGTCAGGGCCTTTTCTAGTTCCCCGCATTTGACTGAGTGTGTTCTCTCCTGCCAGAGAGAGGTGGAGGACGATGTGGATAGTTATCAGGTACCCTCTCAGTCTCCTCCTGCTGCTGCTCCCCCTGTTGTTCATTCTGCAGCATGAAGGAAACCCAACTGACCATGTGTTTGCGACTAGGCCTGTTGCTGAGGGCATGTGAGGCAGGAGGCAGAGGGCTGTGCCTCTACCAGCTAAACAAGTGCTTTATTAAACAGCAGCTGCACACACGGATGATTTTGGATTCTGTAATCATCGATCACACCAACCATTCTTTGGCAGCTCCCTATGCAAAGCACAGTTCCACCCATGGCTGAGCTCCCAGCCAGCAGTCTGTCTGCCAGGGATCTTGCCCCACTCTCTCTTGCCTTTCCCCTCAGGTTGTGCACACTAATGCTACTGTTTCGCTTGTCACTACTGAAGAGCTGCAGGAATAATAAGCCTTACTTAATCACATGGGCATTGCATGGCTGCATGATTACAGTACTTTGCATGGTGGAAGTGTGCTGACGTCAGATGCGTTATAGGATTGGCTTTGAGGTCTGTTGGTTACTGTGGACATTGCAAAGAGGAATCTGCTCTCTGTGGTTCCCACACAGAGTGATCTGCTGTGCATCCAGGTAGGACTTTGGGTGGCGGTTGTGGCTGCATGTGAGGACATGTTAGTGTGCGCATGCACGTGTGTATGTGTGAATGCATGTGTGGAAGTTGCAAAGGAGTTAAAGGGAGGTTTTATGCCAGTGTGTCTGTGATAATTGTTTTTTCAGGCAAAAATACAGGCCTGAAGGCTTTGATTTTTAACACCTTGGATTTGGGAGCTTTTACTTGGCTTGGCTATATATTAGAAGTGGGTGTATAAAGGAGCAGTTATGGTACTTTCTCAGACAGATCAGCCCTGTGCACCTATACCTTGCAGTGTTAACAGCTCACTGTGCCCTGCAGCAGTTTATATGCCTTACTGAGCCAGCTGGCACTGATTCTAGTCTCTGTCTGGTTCCAGGAGGAAGATCTCAACTGTGTTCGAGAGCGCTGGTCAGAGGCCCTGATCAAACGTCGGGAGTACCTCGATGAACAAATCAAGAAAATCATTAACAAACACGGTGAGTCGTAGGCCCTGTGTTACAGATGCCGCATGCCGAAGGACTTATAGGGTAGCTTCTGTGTGTTTGTCTGTATTTCTAGTACTCTGTACTGTACTCTGTGTGATGTTGTGACACCTTTCTCCTCATTTGTGTATGCAGAGAAGTCAGAGGAGGATATTGAGCGTGAGGCTCGGCTAGTGGAGCAGTGGGTCGGCCTGACTGAGGAGAGAAACGCAGTGCTGGTACCTGCACCTGGCAGTGGCATCCCTGGAGCTCCTGCAGACTGGTAAAAATACAAACGCACTTCTGTGCACATGTCAGACCATTGCTTTTTTCACCATTAACCTCACATTCAACTCCTTGTAGGACCCCACCTGCAGGAATGGAAGCTCACATCCCTGTACTCTTCCTGGATTTAAATGGTAAGGGAGACACATCCTTTATCCCGTTTAACTGATACTTCACAGCTTCCTTTCAGGCTGTACAAACACTAACTGTCTTCTATGCCACTAGCGGATAATCTGACAGTAAATGAGCAGCTAACCGGCCCACACGCTGCAGGTGTTAACTCTATCCTGCCCAAGGAGCATGGAAGCCAGTTCTTCTATCTGCCTATCATCAGACACAGTGATGACGAGGTAAGCAATGTGTTTGACTTGACTGCCCCCCTGTGACCAGAAAGGGAACGTTGGGAAACATACATAACGAACAAACGAATGAGGTGTAGTTTCAGAGATCGTGGTTTGTAACATGACCACTATATGATCCAGCTCTGTGAGTCTATGTGTAAACATAAAATATTTTGGCTTTTTCTCAGCATCTTCATCTAATAGTTATATGTTGTGTGTTTTTGTAAAAAACACATACGTTTCGGTGTAAGCGGTTTCTTAAAGGTCCAGTGTCTAGGATTTAGTGGCATTTAGCAATGCAACTCCCTCATTTCACCCTCCCTTTCCAAGCCCAAAGGAGAAACTGTGGTGGCTGTATCTAGTGCCAGTGTTTGATTTTTCTTTTCTGGACTACTGCTCATTCTGAGGTAACAAAAATATAACAATTCTTATTTTCAGGTTATTATACACTAATGAAAACATAGCTATGAATATTACATTGCATTTCTGTCAATCGATCCCCCTAAATGTTACACACTGGACCTTTAAGCCTCTTAATTTGATTTTGTTGATTTTACTACTTTAATTGTTGCTAGAAGTACTTTTCCCCCAGATAATTGCACACAGACAAGAGCAATTTAGGGCAACATATGTTTTTCCTACAATTAGTGCATAATTGAACAATTACGCAATCATGTAATTGCACAACATCATGCATGGAAGCAAGCATTTAAAAGAAAAGTCATCTTAATTTATTTTTCTTTGATGTAGAGCAGCAGCATTAACCATACAGTAATCACTACCCACCTTATTGTACTAAATTGTGATTTTTCTTCTCATTAGCTAACTGCTGCAGACCAAAGCTACAGCCCACCTACATATCTGTAAACCATGCCCCTGTGTGTGCAGTTACAGCCACGATCCTCTCTCTGTAGACGACTGTGGAGCCATATTAATAAAACACAACTCTTCTAATTCACCAGGTGTCTGCAGTGTGCTCCTGGGACTCATCCATCCACGATTCTGTGCACCTCAACCGCATCACGTCTCCCAACGAACGCATTTACCTGATCATCAAAGCCACAGTGCAGCTCAGCCACCCTGCCTCTATGGAGCTGGTGCTCCGCAAGAGGATTGCTGTCAACATCTACAACAAACAGGTTAATATCAGGGGGATCAGAGTTAATGAGAGGTCGGCCCACAGCAGAGGTGTGGTTTTACAGCAATGGATTATGTTTTAACGATCAGCATCGTTTTGATTTGTTTCCTCCAGAGTTTCACTCAGAGTCTGAAACGAAGAATGTCCTTAAAGAACACGCTTTATTCCTGTGGTGTGACGTATGAGATTGTTTCCAACATACCAAAGGTACAACTGTCATTATCTGATAAAATAAGATATTTTATTCTCCCACTGTGTCTAACAAAGGCTTCTTTCTGGACATATGATAAATAACTAGATTGACATTTATCTTCATCAGCCCTTTCTTCCTCTCTTGCCTCCTCTTCCAGGCCTCAGAGGAGCCAGAAGAAAGGGAAACCTTGGCCCTCATGGCTGCTCGCGGGGACAGTGAGGAGACTCAAGATGGGGAAACCTACATAGAGAAATACACACGGGGGGTTCTGGAAGTAGAGAACATCCTCAGTCTGGAGAAACTACGACAGGTATTTTATACAGCTTTATACAGATGCTGTTTTGGAAAAATGTATTAGGGATCATGTAAAGATGTTCCTGTCTTGTTTTTTACCTTGAAGGCTGTGACAGTGAAGGAAGCGCTCGCTGCCAAGGGGAGACACCTAAGAAGGAGTATCAGCACACCAAATGTACAGCATGTAATGAATACATCACTCACTGCACTGCCCATTGAACCATATGGAAATAATTGTTATTAAAAAAATATATACTGATAACATATTTCTTGCTCTCCAGTCTTCATGTAGTAAAATAGACCTGACTGGCTGTGAGGATGAAGACTGTAAGGTAAGCTAGGCGTGCCTTAACAACATAAAACTTACCCTGCAGTTAACTTTTCTTGGCTGCAGATGACATTTGTATGTATTCTGTCATCGCAATTATTACATTATGATGATATGATCATAATAGCCATGTTTTACAAGGAACTTATCCTACCTTTACACTAGGGATCTAAAGCCCAATATTATACTGTACTATACAGCAGAAGAGAGTCTTTTAGCTGCAACTTTACTTTAACCTCTCAATACTTTACAATACAATTTACAATATAACCTGTGTATTATTGTCTAGGACCACTGTGATCATGTGGATAACACCAACAGCAATCCCCAGGAGGGCTCACTTTGCACCACACCCATCAAAAGCAAGGAGAATCCAGGTAAACTACAGAAACAATGAATGTGTAGCAGGCGCATTGTGTCCTGACGTGCATTTGTTTGAGAAACGATGTTTGTACGCTAGATTATAACTAGGCCAGCACGATATAGTAAAAAAAATCATATTGTGATTATGACAGTTATTATGAATGATGATGATTTGCGATTTCAGTAGTATTTCGATCAATTGTGCAGTCCTAATTACAACTACATGAACTACAACCAATACAGGTTTGGTTCCAGAGAGCCCCACCTTTTTCAACTCCAGCCCCTTCAAAGTCCTCTCCCCTCAGCCACCTAAGTTCCTTAAGTCTCTGTTGCCTGTCAAAGAGGAGAACAAGACGAAAAAAGCCCTGGAGGCCCGGCCGCTGCTGGGACAAGAGGTAAGGAGGAAGGAGTAAAATGTACTCTTCTCGAGAGGGGAGTATTCATGCCTTTGTTTTTGCCATGTTGTTCCCTTTTCCATTGAACTTTTCTTCAATCCCACATATCCTTGTTTTGTCAGTCCTCCGTCAAACCCCATTTTTACATTTTACCACTTACATCTTATTGTTACCTTACATCTCCGCAACATGGTAAACATATTGACATTGACATAAATTACTAATTGTCCAAAGCTGCCTGAAGACTTTTGTGAAAATGGCTTTGCTGTTGTATGTTTGACAAAAAAAAAACACCCTGGCTCACAGTGGATAGCCATAACACAAAACGAGACAAAGCTATGCTATAAAGTTTCACGTCTGATTTTGTTTGTGATCATTTGATTTGCCAGATAGTTTGTGGCTGTTTCACCCATTTAAACTAACCTTGCATATTTGTTTTCATCCATGCTTGAAGTGGGCTAAAAGAGTTGTAGGTACTTTACTAGTAAAACTAAATTACTAACTATATTAGTCCATGGCAGGGAGAGTGTATGACAGCGGTGGTACATAAATAGCTGCAGTCTGAATAAAAATGATCTTTAGTATGATATTAAAATATGGCAAGAGTCGTGGTGTCTTTGTGGCTCACCTGGTAGAGCGTGTCTCTCTTCAGCTGCTGTTTTATAATGCGTGGATATAAGAAAAAGAGGGTCGAGAGACTATAAATATATAGACCTACTGCTCACAAGACGTGTGTTGCAATAAAAATTACTATTACTCATACTTAGAACACTTCAAGCACTGTTCTTTGTGAAATATTCAACTGCATGGCACTAACTGTGTAACTGGCCTGCCCAGCTCCATGCATGCTGTGTGTGTGTGTGTGTGTGAAGTGTTTGCTGTTGTTCTGACCCATCCGCAGAGCATGCGCTCATGTGTGGACAACCCTGCACTGCTCCCCCCTCCCTGCCCCTGGCGCCGGCCCAGGGCAGGCAGCGAGGGCCACTGCAAGCATTCCACCTCCACGTCCACCTCCACCCCCACCACCACTCCCACCAGCAGACAGCTCAGCCACACACTGCCACACACTGCTGTAAGTGCTACACACACCAGCACACACCGCATTGAGGGTTTCTGTAAGAGTTTTACACACACAAACACCCCTTGACACACTGTTGTAAGAGCCAGTCTCTAGGCTTCTACTGGCAGGGTTTCAGACACTTTCTGACAAATTGTGAGTTCCCTAGCAACAAACATACTTTGTCTACCAGCAGTAGGTAAGTAAGTAAAGTTATAGAATGATGAAAACCTAAGATAATTGCGGGCAACTTGAGCATCACTTCAAAGCTGGCTGTTGATTAAGCTGATTCCATGGCCAAGTGATTCTGGTCTTTTTTCTTGCACAGAATCCAACAAGTCGCAGTGCCACTGTAGTTTTAGTAGTCTGTGTAGTACTGAACATGAGATGAAATCCCTCCTACCTAATACACCGGACTCGCATATTGTGTACATATACATTCCATTATTGTGGACAGAAGAAGAAAAACACTTTTTTTTTAGACAACTATACAGTCAAGAAAATGTTATACAAGTGATTACAATATGAGATAATTATAGCCTTGATAATCCTTATTTTTAATATGCCTAATTTACTTATTTCACACTTCCCTCACATTATGACATTTACCTCTCTCAACCCCAACATCACCAGTGAGGTGAGACCAGTAGATTTAAACCCATACATGAGTACTACGGTGCACCCTAAAGCAAAGTTAAGAAAACACATACATTATTCATACACTATGTTCATGTTCCATCATCACATTTTGTGCCATTTTTCCATTGTCTTCATTCACTTTACAGTGTTTATAAAGGCTAATGTTCCAAACAGGCTTTAGCTGACATCATGTCTGGTGGGATGTGTCTTTTGTCCTGCTTCTGTTGTTTTGATAAGCAGGACTCTGAGGATGAGGAGACGGATGTCGACATGACCCTGAATCTCGATCGGGGCCCTCAGGAACACAGCAGCTTCCAGCATTATATCCCCGAGGACTTTGCAAACTTTGAGATCTACAATGCTACTTTGGAGAGCCAGGAGGGGTTTCTGTCCTCCCGTTCTGACTTGAAGGGAAGCCGGTGTGGAGGTGGGAGTGGAGAGAGAGAGGTGCCTCGAAGCCCCACGGCCAGCAGTTGCACTAGCGGCTATTTTTCACATAGTGCCTCCAACGCTACACTGTCAGACATGCCTTTCAGTGCCAGCGAGAGCTCCGACCACCTCAGCTGCAACTCCAGAGAGCCCCATGATCCTCTTGGCTGCCCTGCTGGGAGAGGCTGCACCCAAAGCAAAAGTGTTTCTGCAGGGAGTGAGACCCAGCAGCCTCCCCTCTCAGCAGGTGGCGTTCAGGATGTGCACAGCCACCCTGCCTCCTCTCCTGTCAGAATCCCTAATTGCACAGACAAGAAGCAAACATTCCCTCTGCCTCACAACTGTGTTCTCAGTGCCAGCCAGGAGTTCACTGACTTTAAAGGGGCTGACGACAGTATTGGAGAGGGTGACTTAGCACATTTTACAGAGGGATGGGAGCAGAAGGGTTTGGAGTTCTCTACAAGCCAGAAGAAAAAACCTGATAACATAGAAACATGTGAAACTGACAATGAGCACTCCTCTGATGTCTCTGATATTATCAACACATCTGTTCCTGAAAACACTTCAATAGCTATATGCAAATGTCCAAATAATACAGGCTCTGTCAGTGTAGCTGAGTCCTGTCCTAACACAACTGTTTGCACTCAAGTCAGACCCCCACTGTCTATGCCTGACAAAGTCCCAGCTCCATCTCTAGCATCACCATCCCCGGTCACACCTTTACCAACAGCCCCATGCTCTGCCCCAACTCAGCTAGCAGGAGGAGAACCTCCAATCCAGGAGCCTGCCCAGGGAGATCTGCCCCACGGGAGTCCCTGTCCCAGCCCAAACCCCAGCAGTGCCGAGCCCTCAGGTGATTCCAGCGGAGATGAGAGCACCCCAGTGGCTCAGCTTCCTGACTGGATGGCCCCTGGAGAGCAGGTGTGGGTGGGGAAGAGGAGAGGAACAGTCCACTATGTCGGAGGGGTGGAGTTTGCGAAGGGGATTTGGATTGGCGTGAAGCTTGATATGGCAGTGGGTGAGTAGAGCTGAGGAATACAGTACATATATGAGTCGATTTTAGTATGTATTGAGGTGATTTTGAAATAGTGTCATCACATGGTGTGTCCACCAGAGAGCACTGACAAGTTTATTTTTCAATCATTCCACTGAGTACATATCTTGGTCACAATTCATCAACATTTTAAAGATCCTCATTAAATATGTTTGTCTATGTTATGTTCTTAGAAAAAAAAACATATATCAACCAAAATATTATAAGACTTAATTTAACCCTCAAATATAGATATCAGTACCAATATGGCCAGATTAACCCACAATGGGGCCATGGCGGTGTTCATCGCCTGATTGTGGTAATTTGGTTAAACACAAGTTATTTAGGTATTTAGTTATTTAATTTTGACGACACAGGTCCCCTCTAAAAGACAGATAATGATGCCTTAAGGCCCGTATCAGTTCAGGTGATATTTTGTGATTCTAGTGGTGCCTATTCTCAAACACGAAGATAAAGATTCATTTGGAACAGAAACCAAATAATGAAAAGTTCATGTAGGAGGCGTATGCAAGAAAAAAAGTTAAATCATCTTAGCTTTGTTGTGTGGGAGTCAGCAACAGACTGGTAATTAAACCCTGAGTATTAGCCTCAAAAATCCACTATAGGCTTGAGTGTTTAATATAGATAGCAAGTGATATGCTTATCCCCTTGTGTATTAAAGGTCCAAATGTGACGCAGTACTATGATTGATCTTCCCACAGGTAAGCACAACGGGACTGTCCAGGGCAGAGTGTACTTCCGCTGTCCCCCAGGCCACGGTGTGTTTGTGAAGCCATCTCGTCTCACCAGAGGACCACCATCCATGGACACAGAACCCCAGACTCTGATCAGATAGGACCCAAAGAAGGATCGGCTCTCTGAGGAATGGCAAGGACCAGAGGGCGGTCCTCAGATCGGGCGCCTGTGGGTGAACAGCGGGTTGACTTGTCCACTCAAGTGATCTGAGCTAATGTGTTCTATAGGTGTGTGTCTGCTTTCCTAAAGCATATCTGACCTGTGCATTTAATGAAGGTATATCCTAATTACTGTCCACTGAAAATTCACTATGCACATATCTGAGTTTTCTATATGGTGATATTTTTGATAGAGAACTTCACTTTTAACTGGGAGTCCATATGGAAATATTACCCACATACATTTTCTTACATTGGTTTCTGAACATTATATATAATATTTTTGTAAGACAATGCATCCTCCCCTGAGGCTCATAGTGGATTAATCTGGGATATGAAGATTAAGAATGTACTACTGTTAATAAACATTGATATTTACATCAATAGGATATGTCAGGGGTAACCAAAGAACTACGGTTCCATATCTGCTGTTATGAGTAATATGTTATTTTTCTAATGTACGTATGTGGAGGCAAACATTATATATCTGTGTCCAAGTAAAGCTTAGTGCCATATCTCTAGGAGTAATGCCACATACCCTGAACGGAGGACAAGTCTGCAAAACCTGAGTTGCTTTCAGTGTTTGAATGCAGTTATCATGTTAAATTATCCTGTTGAAGTACTGTAACACTGTGGAGGAAATAATCCCCATCCAGCATGAGACTGTTGCTGTTTGAATGCTTGCACTGGAAAGGATTCTTGGAGAGTTCACCAACTGTCTTCCATATTGGACTGATGACATTTTTTTTTTAACTGAACTGACTGAGAAACTGAGTGTGTCATCGCTTTAATGCGGGGAACAAAGCAGCAAGGCTTTGTCCAAGGCCTGGATATACTGATGCCTTAACGCCCTGTTTCCATAAAGGCAGGCACATAGACCCCAGACTACTCAATGAACTCTATAACAAGTTCACTGAGTTTTAAACTAACTAACTGTATGGACCTGAAACCTGTGTATGTATATCATGATACCCAGAGGCATTTAAAATGCCATCCAGCCTCGCTGACTGACTGACTGAATACCTTTTTAACTGCATTTTATATGTTAACTGACTGATATATAACACTACATGTTAAAAGGTACTCAATAATGCATTTTTTTTTCACATGGAGGATTGGGTGAATGGGATCAGGTTACAGAAGCTGGTGCAAAAGTAGTTTTAGAGTTGTCCTATGAACTTTATTTTTATGGAAGTGGTGAACTGTGGAACTGACTAGAAATAGTTATATATCAGAGCTGTAAATTCAAGTAAATGAAACAAACCCAAGACCTTACTTTAAAGAAGAGAACAAAGCTGCTCTCCCTCATAAGGAGTTGTAAATAGAAATGTATTTGAACATAGTATTTACACTATTATAATGTACAGAATTGTATTTATAATGTATCTCAAACTGTTTTAATTGGTACAAAATGTTCTAGAATAGAACATTTACAATCAGCGTGCTGTGTCGACTCTTCATTTGGTTCATTCAAGCTGAACTTGTTTGCATATTTTAGTAGGTTTTAACAGTATAGCATGAGCATACATAGTATTCATTTTCTTGTGCTTTAATAAGAGATCAGAATACATTTGATGGATGGATTTTTCTCACAAAGCGCTATTCTCTGCAAGTGAATTTGAATTTCAAGATTCACTGTGGCCTAAAGGCCTTAACAATTCCTTTAACAGCAACATCCACTGCAGAAGACAATTTCTATCATTTACTAATGTCAGGACATTGTCCCACTGACAAACATGTTTCTAGCACATGTCCAAATTAGTCTTATCTAAATGCAATAAATATGTCATTTTAAATGCAATCTCTTTTCAAACTCACTCTGATTGTAACATTCTTGGTCAGAGGTTGGATTCCTATGTTGCACCCAGGAAAGACATAATGGTAGCACACACAGATGCACACACAGATTTGCAGGAAAAAGTTCCAGCAACACTGGAACTTAAGACTTTGGTTTAACACTACAAACAATATACTGGGAAGGCGCATCCTGCCTAAGATCTAACTACAGGTTCTATTCCTAGTTCTGTCGACCTTTGCTGTAATAGTACGCAGGAGCCCAGCAGGGTGGAGGTCACCTGTCTTATTTTTTTTGTTTTGTGGTGCAGTTTAGCCAAGATTTTAAAGACTTTAATATCCATAATGTAACACAGCTATCCACACTGTGCTCCAATTTGACAAAACAGAAACTACCCTATGTGCTAATGCAGTGGATCTCAACTTAGGGTCCAGGGACCCCCAGGAGTCCTTCAGAAGGTTTCAGGGGGTCCCCAGAAAAATGGGAATATTTTAATTTCTCTATTATTTCATTGACAATGCATTACCCAAATGAGAAAATGTATATGTGTGACTATTCTGTTTGTAGGTTTAATCCGCCAACCTACAGTATAGACAATAATTAAATATTATCAGACATGGATCCTTGAGACTACATCTTATTAAATATGAATCCCTGGCCTAATGTGTGTTATGTTGGGGGTCCTTGACACTAAAAGGGGCGCCTGGATAGCTCACCTGGTGGAGCTGGTGCCCCTTGTGCCGGGGCTGAGTCCTTGCTGCACCCTTTGCTGTGTGATGTCCCCTCTCTCTGCAGGGGGGCCTCTTGCTTATCTTCAGCTGTCACTTTCAATTAAGGGCAACAAAAGTAAAAAAAGAAAAATAAACATAAAAAAAAGAAAGGGGTAATCTGCAGAGGAGTTTGTTGTTACTGGAATTTGATTATGTGTGCATACATTTTCAAAGACTTTCCATATATTTAGTCCAAAATATCCTACATCAAATTATGTTACAATGGGTTGTGTATTACAAAAAAGGGCAAAAATGAGCATGGGGTGTGATTCTTTACTACATATATTGGAAGAGATGTCAACAGTGATGTTTGCTCTACTCCCTGGTTTCTTAATGTCACTGGCAGATGTATGGTCCCCTGGATCTTGTCCCCTCTCTGACTGATGTAAAGGTAAACAACACAAACATGTCGACATGTTGTGCCCTATAAATGATGCAGGCACCTGCAGTACGCCAATCACTGTCAGTGTAGTTTTGCAAACACTGACAAAATACATTGTCCTTCCTAGTTGTCTTATTATAAGCAGGTGGTGCCTAAGATGTCACATTTGAGTTACATTAACTTAATTATAGTGCCCCCGTGGGGTCAACTGGTGTAGTTTTTAAAAACTAATATGAAATAACCATAGCAACAGCTAGGCAACATATGCATCTGTCAATATACAGTACAGTGATTAATTAATTGGCTTGTTCAAATTAGTTTTTTAAAACAACCCTGAATGCAAAACGTTTTTATGAATAAGCAGGTTACTTAACTAATGAGAGACTAATAGTACTATATATATCATTGAGAACACTAAAGTTCAGTCTTAGGTACTTTTTATGGGAATTTGTGGGTTTTAGCAACCTGGGGCGAGTCACATTGTACAATTCAAAGACGAAATTAATATTTTAAAGGCTTATTGCTGTATTTTTAGTTTTATATTCAATCCCCTTTAGGCCAAAAACAAGGATTCAGTAAGCCTATTTCCCACCAGAAAGTGGGGGCTTTGCAGCATTTAGACCTTTGTGTTGGGGAATGAAATGCAGAGGAAATATTTACAGTAAATGGGCAGTTAACTGGATAAAAAAACTTTTGTTAAAAGTTTAAAAGACTTCATTTTTGGCACATGTTTACTACTTACTGCACAAATGAAACACTATTTGACAAAATCCTTCTTAAACTTGCCTTAACCAACATGTATTTTTCTGTGACTGGCGTCAACTTCATCAGGAAGTAAGAAACATAAGACATACATTTTTCTATTCTGACTTAGCACAGTGTGTCCCCTGTCACTATTTTAACAGCTGTGCGACAGTAGCCTGAGCACAGTGTGGTGGTCTGGATCTGGGTGGAGTTAAGTATCCGTGTCGCATACTGACAACTGGGTAACAAACTAACAGGTGTCCTCCTCCTCCTCCTCCTCCTCCTCCTCCTTCAGATCCACAGACACATCACTGGGGGTCTGCCTGTCCGCGCCGCAGACTCTCTCCCTCAACTCATCTGAACGCGTTTCTCGACTTTCTCTAACCTCCAAACTTTCCAGGAAGTCACTTTTATAATATCTCCAAATGATGCACTCGGCACAGAAAGACACCACGTTCACCAAGATCTTTGTGGGAGGTCTTCCTTATCACACCACTGACTCAAGTCTCAGGAAATATTTCGAGGTGTTTGGAGACATCGAGGAGGCTGTTGTCATCACTGATCGGCAGACGGGGAAATCCAGAGGTTATGGATTTGTAAGTAACAACCTGTGGTTTAGTTTTGAGTTGCCATTTTAAGTTGCTCGCACACGTGCACGGGTCGATTGCTCCGTGTATCGGTTGATAGCAGAGTCGATTGTACTGTTTTCCTGTTCTGTGTGACAGGCAGGTTTGAAATAGGTCATTTGCAGCTGTTACTGTTTGCAGAGAGTTGACAGTCAAGACTCTGAACCACTGAATTACTCTAGATGGACCAAAAAAAGATCTTAATTGACAAATAATCTATGATTTTGTGGGTGCCATCTCTGTGACCACACTGTGAGAAGTAAGAAATGTCCGTGAAGTCAATGGAAAAATGTGCTGTCTCCTTTAGGTGACCATGGCAGACCGGGCCTCTGCTGACAGAGCCTGCAAGGATCCCAACCCCATAATAGATGGCAGGAAAGCCAATGTGAACCTGGCCTACCTGGGGGCCAAGCCCAGGGTCATACAGCCAGGTGAGGGACTGGACCACGGCTTTAACTTGGATCATCAAGGTGGCATACAAAGACATCAGCTCAAATGTCTTTACACGCTCACACATATGAACTCCATTAAATTAATGCAATTATTTTTGATGAAAGTAGTAGATTCGATATTGAGAATTGATATTTAGATGTTGTAAGCTTTCAGACTCAAAAACACTCAATTCAAAATAATATCCACTGCATCAGTAGAGAGTTACAACTTCAGACAAAACTATAACAAGTGTCTGTTTTCATTCTAGGGTTTGCATTTGGTGTGCCTCAGATCCATCCGGCATTCATCCAAAGACCTTATGGGTATGTTAAAAACTGCATAAATGTTAATTTCTTTCACAAAATCTGCTATTGTCTTATATGATCTTACATAATCTGTTTTTAAAACATGTTATTTATGATTGCCTCCACCTATTAAATCCTGAATGAGGACATGTGAGTGTTGATATGTGCTCCTCTGCTTGGCGTTGACTGTGAAGGAAGTGAACAATTGTCCCCAGCCACTACAGGACTTGACTTCATGTTGTTTATCTCTCTCTGATCTGACAGGGTCGGTAACGGTTAAAATAGCTGATGAAGGGACATGATGATTTGAGGAATAGCTGAGTCTGCATTGGGCAGAGCACTAAAGTGTTACCTGTATACTCTGACATACACAAACGAATGGTGACTAGATGCATGGAAGCCTTCTGTTTTTTCTTTTTCCAGTTTTCCATAGTACATAGATTTGTGTGTGCCTTGTTTTCAGTATGATGTGGTGTTCAGCTTAACTGTGTGCTTATTTCTACTTGCAGTGGGGGGGGGTTGCAGGAGGTTATGTGCAGATTTTTTTAGTTTTGATAGGGAGCCGTAACTCCGTAATGGGGTGTTGGTGATTTTCCCTTTTTAATGATTGATTTGTGCTTTAGCCTGTGGTTCATTTTTTCCCCCCGGTTTCTTGTTAACATTAAGTTGATCGTGTTTTGTTGTCAAAAGGGGGCTGATGATCACTTACAGACTTGTGTTGAAAAAATCTTGTGTTCAAAATCGATCCCCTACAACAAAACAAACACTGGCTTGCATGCTGGACTTTTTTTTCTGTTTCCTTACCCATAATGCTGTGTTGTTGTTTTCGTTTTTGTTGTTTTTTTTCATTAACCCATTGCTTTCAATTGTAGCTTACATCTACAGGTATACGATACTGAGCACTATTTTTTATTTTTCAGAGAAATTCAAAATATCCTCTGTTTTGTATTTTTCATTTCATTCATCACTCCCAGTGGCTGTCATTAAACAGTAACATTAAAATGTGTAGAGGGAATGAACACAAGTAGTGTTATCATCACAGGAGAATATGTTTAATTGCCCCCATGTTGGTACTTTATTAGCAAAGCTACAGTTTCATGAAGTAAGTTAACTGATAAGGTCAAGACTCCAAATTAAAGCTGGATCGCTGTACTTATAAAAGTTAAATGTTATCTAACTATAGATGTGATCATGGGTTCATTGTTTAGCTTTGCAATACACCATAAAAGCCAGTCTATCTATCTATCTATATATATATATATATATATATATATATACAGACAGACTTAAATGTTCACTGCACTATAGGTTGGAGACAGAATTCTTAGCCGGTCTCTTAGGCAGCAGCTGTTGGCTACAGTGATCTCCACGGCCTCTCAAATTCAGATGGAAAATGGGAGTCACTCAGCAGCGCTGTTAATAATGTATGGCACAGACAGGGCCGCTCGGCTGTGGACAACAGGTGGGCCGAGCCATGTGCCTGTGAAGCCTTTTGGTTATGGGCTGGGGGATTACCCATGTGTCCTGGTGATTTACAAAGCACCTTTATTTAGCTCTCCACTTGCAGAACCACAAAATGTCCATCCCATCTCTTTCAATAGAGATGGCTTAAGTCAGCTGTGCCCTCTGTGCGCTTGAACTGTTAATATTAAAACAAGGTCATATCACAAAGGAAGGATACCAGCATGTTGGTTCCTGTCTTGTCAAGCTGGAAGTTATACATCTAACTAGGTTTCCCATGTTTAATGCAAGAATTAACATTCTTTTGTAACATTTTCTGTGATCATTTTGCTATAGCACAAAAGAGTTCTCTCTTCTTTAAAGCAGTGGATCTAGCATCCCACTTTGTAACAAGGGCAACATTTTGTTCAACCAGGACACCTCCAGTCCCACAATAAAGAGGTAAATTCAGTTAAGTTGCTGAGGCCTTAGAGTGGCGTAGGCAACTATTACAGTTGACGAGTGCCCTGCCATGTGTTACTGAAGGAGAAGATCAGCTTGTCCTTTGGAGATGACAAGGGTAGCAAAAATAGCTTGCTTCCAGCCTCCCTTGTCAGTCAAGTTGGCGTGTGTATGTTTGTGTGGGGGTGTATGTCTGTAAGGAGGGGGAGGGGGGACTTGTCTATGGACAGATATAACAGTTTCACACCTGTTCCTTAAATATATTTACTGAAGGTGACTTTAACATCAGTTTAAGGTGAAGTCAAAGTTACCCAGATACCCAGGCTTGTATTTATCCATTTATACTCTGGTCTATATACAGAATATTGCTCGTCCGGTGGAGATCACCTACACTTATAGCATAAAACAAATAAACACAACATGGTCTCTGCAGAACCTAATACAACCAAGCACCCACTTGATAAGATACCGTACAGTTAATTCACTGCATAGCCATTTTTTGCCTTTATGAGCTGCTCCATTTTAAAGAATCTAAAAGCCTCTTTTTTGCCCTATATGTTTGTGTTTAAAGACCTATTAACATGTGTGGGCATGCCTGTATATGTGGTGTTGGTGTGACAGTATGTGGACAGAATAATGTCCTCTTCTTTTCTTGATATGTTGTGGTGGTGTGCGATAAGCTCGCATTTTGTCAAATACCGTTTTCAGTGAAACAATGGGTGCAGAGCTGGGCTGTGTCTTCTCTTAATGCCTTACTGTATTTCAGATTCAGGTGCTTTTTGAAATTAAAAGCTGCGCTTGTGTTTCTTTGTGGTTTTGCTGCTTCCTTAACTTTTCATTCCTAGGTAGGGTTTTTCAGTTGTTAATGAATGGATTTGCTGTGTTCTGAGGACTGGATTGACGTATTTGTGGCGCCTGCTTTTCAGTATTCCAGAATTTAGTTTCAGCGTTGGAAAGATTACTGGCTGTGGCTCCGCTTTTGACCCCGTGTGTATTTGTGTCCTACAGAGTCCCTGCCCACTACGTCTACCCTCAGGCCTTTGTTCAACCCAGTGTGGTGATCCCTCATGTACAACCGTCTGCTGCTACAGCAACAGCTGCTGCTGCCACTTCCCCATACCTTGACTATACTGGAGCAGCCTATGCCCAGTACTCTGCGGCTGCTGCCACTGCTGCTGCCGCCGCCGCTGCATATGAGCAGTATCCGTACGCGGCCTCACCAGCACCAACAAGCTACATGACTACAGCAGGGTACGGGTACACTGTCCAGCAGCCGCTCGCCACTGCTGCCACCCCAGGAGCTGCCGCTGCTGCTGCCGCCTTCAGCCAGTATCAACCTCAGCAGCTCCAGACAGATCGCATGCAGTAAACCATGAAAACTGCCTCAAAGGAGGAAAACGGGAGAGGTAACCACCGCCCAGGAAGAGGATGAAGTTAGAAGGGGGAAGACCGTAGGGGCTGAACGATGGTTGTCAATTTCAGGTTTTAACTTATCAGTCCTTCTACCAAAGAGCCTGACGAAAATCACCAAAAATGACAATTGATGAATTACTGTATATTTTATTCAAGAGCAGGAAAGCAGTATTTTGTCACTATTGAATATATATATATATATATATGAATATTTAATATTTATTCAGCAGGAAAATATTTAATGTTAATTGAAGTAGACTCACTGGACCTCATGTCAACCATTGCTGAATTTTGTATATATATTGCAGTGGAATTTGTATAAAATTCCCAAGTGCATTCATGTCTTATGATCAGGTTTCTTCCCGATTTCTCTGAAAACAAACCAAAACATTTGCATACACATGAGAACAGTATGTTACGTCATCATGCAGTTTTCAGTATTTCATAGTTTTGGACCAGTATTTTGTTTGGTAAAGCTATGCAAACATTGATATAGAAGTCAGTGTTTTGTTAGGATTGTTCTATTTTTATAACTGTTTGGAGTGAGATAGATTAGACACCTTCAACTAGTTCCCTTTAAGATTTATTTTCTTGATGGTACATAAGACAAAATGCTGAGGTGACAGCTGAAGCTGGTAAAAGCACTCATTTTTCTTCCCTTTTTAAAATGCACGTCTAATAAGTTCAGCAAAAGGGAAGAAATATTGTTGAATGTGAATCTTTCATTTTGACGATATGTTTCATAATGTGCCTTTGAAATTATGCTATTTATGTATTTATTATGGAGCCTTACAGTAATAAACCCTTTACTTTTGTGTTCATGTGTTTAGTATGAAGCCTACACTAGAACATGCCCAACATGTGCTGCTGTGTAATGATCAAGAGCATATGAAGGTTGTTCAGACTTGGCTTAATAAAACAATACACTGTGTATAAAGAACAAAATATGAGTGAAAAGGTAGCAATAATAGTGAAGAAGAATTTTCTTTTTTTTTCCTGTAGATTTAATGTTGTCTCAAATAGATTCTTAATTCTTTAATGTCGCTTTTTATACTTGATCAGTTTGATAAAGGATGGTGTGAGAACTGTTCACTTTTTCATTTTTTTTCACATTTGATGTCATTAGACATGAAATGTTTTATAATGCAATGCTATCACCTGTTTTACCTTGCATTTTGTAATGCATGACTCAAAATAATGCAAATGTTTAATAAGTGAAATAAAAGGAAATTTACCTTCTGTGTTCTGTGTTATGTCAGTTTTGCTCACAGCCTTTAAATTGTTTGCAATCAGGTCACATGATGGTCACAGTTGAATACAAAGAGTAAAAAACTGTACTGTAACAAACAGCCAAATAATGCATGTATACATTTAACCAACTGCCAAAGACGTGCTCTGTGTGTCACTGCAGTGCAGCATATGAGTTGGTGTGTCACAAGTCCTACTACAATGTGAACTATAACTATTACTTGATCGTCATATAACCTATTTGACCTATATTAACATCTCTCAGCAAGAAACAGTCTAATTAAGTAACCAATATCAAACAGAGACGGAAACCCAAGAGGCAAGATGTGTCCAACATCTCAGAAGACCTGTGTCACTAAGTAATAATGAATCACACATTTTTGGAAACTGAGCTACACTTGAGACACTGCTAGAGAGTTTGGTGCTTGCCTCTGTTTACATTATAAATCAACGAAGATGTTTGTGTAACATGAATCCAGCCTGCCGTGACTCCAAAATAGTAAGTAGGTTCAGTCCCTCTTCCCACAAAACAACCACTAGTTGAAAGAAGCTGTTTGCCAGGTTTGCTCACGCTGACCAAATGAAATACATGCATCTACATAACCTTAAGTGTTAGACTATTTCTATATGTACATTTTCAATGCTAAAATTAAATTATATATACAGTCCATTCCCTCTGTCAGTCACGTGTTTACAACCCTTCACTACAGTCCGAACCAGTAATGTTGTTCACAGCTGTGAGGAAACTTGTGATGTGACCTGGGGTACTACAGAAGAGCAGGCAGGCAGCTGCAGGGTCTGGAAAATCCACTCTCTTGGTTCTTGAGACCCCCTCTGGTTGTCCTCTCAGGGTTTCTCTCCAAACCTGTCATCTTCTGACACCTGCTGGTACATGTAGTCAACACTTTCCTGTCACATATTTTACAAGGTACTATTCTCCCTGAGCCCTTTGGTTATGCTTTATTTATATCAAGTTTTGTGAATTTCACTCTCAGTTAACTCACGCATTTTAAACAGACTACCTGGAAGGACTGGTTTGACATGCTGCGTTCAAGTCATATGGAGTTGTCGTAATTCCGAATCTCCCACTGGTAAAAAGCGTTCACGGGGACAGCCACTTGTAAATATGACTGGAAAAGTCCGACTTTTCCGACGAATGGGATATAATCGAATTGGCGCTTTATACTTCTATGTCCCTACAAACCAAGCAAACACAGACGTCTTACGTTAGCCAAAGTAACGCGTTTAATGTAATTAAACAAACAAAAAAACTGTGGATATAGAGCTACATTGTCAATGCGCAGTATGTGTGCACTAGGTCAACCTTGTGCTCATACAGCTGTGAGCTGCCAGGTGGAAGGAACGATCTCATGTCGTTAAAATAGTTCTCTCTATCATTTCTACCACCTATACCGCACGGGCCTGAACGCAGCATCCCGCATCCTGGGGGCGCTGACGTAGGAGTTCCCTGGCAGTCAGGGTGAACACATTTCTTTTTGACGAAAGTGGAGCAGAAACTGCGAAAAATACCGCAGACTATTATAGAGGAACCCAGCTGGGACCGAAACGTTGATTGCAGGCAGTGTAAGTAGTTTTCACAGACCTAACATATCTTTTTTTTTTTTTTGTTTATCTTTGTTGCATCTCCGTTGTCAAACCATACTAGCAAACGTTATTGTTTGGAAGGGAAAAAAAATCATGGCCATATTGTTTTGTAGCGTTACGATGCTATGCTACTAAGCTCGTTCTTCTTCAAATAATTAGCAGTTGTATTTGTTGCTTTGACCTAAATAGCCCGTTGAATGTATTTTATGTCGGCTAAATGGCCGTTTCTTGACTGAAAGTGTAATTTGGGGCCTACACGATAAACCTCGAGAGTCCCTGTGGAAGTGAAACTCGGGAAAATGTAAATGCTTTTAACTGGTATCAACCTCAGGATCCCAAATCTGTGTTTAACCCCCCAAATATGAGATTCTAAATGTGGAAAAACGAGACAATGTCTACACCGAATGTGAATAATGGTTTTAATGAAGTTGATGATCGACGTTTCTCAATGATGACCGGAAGTCAGCATCGTAATGTGACGTAACAGCGCACCGCGGTGGTCCTGCGCTGTCAGCCGTCATCTGTGATCTTAACACTGATGTTCATTTGTACCTTAATAACCTGTCATGTGAATTCTCCTTTTTTTTTTTTTTTTTTCCTTTTCCTTCTATACAATTTATATCTATCCCAATAATCCGACACTCCAGCCGGTGTCTGCTCCCGATCTGAGCCGAAGATGACCACGGAGAAGACTGAATACACTCCGGTGCAGGGGGGACCCTCTCTCCCCGGGCAGCCAGCGTTTCCTGTCGCATTTGACATGAATATGCAAGGCCCAAACATGTTCGGAGGCCCTGCTGCTGGTGGTCTTTCTGCACCTGGTGGTTTCCCTGCCTCTGATGGTTTCATGGCCCCTGGCGGTTTCCCTGCCTCTGATGGTTTCATGGCCCCTGGTGGTTTCCCTGCCTCTGATGGTTTCATGGCCCCTGGTGGTCTCCCTTTCCTCCATCCCACTGCTTTTGGACCTGGTGTTCCCGGAGCTTTCGGAATGGCCCCAAACCCTCAAGGTGGCTTAGGATATGGCGCCAACCCCTCTTCTTCACCATATTCTCCACCAGGCCAGGGCCTTAATGGCAACTTCAGTGGTTAGTATATCTAACATTATGTGGAATTATATATTATATTGTAATTTTATCAATTTGATATTTCTGGTTTGTGCCACTTCAGATGATGTTTACCATCACGAGGAAGAGCCACCACCCTTTCACGAGAATCAAGACTTTGATTTTGGATTAGATAACAAGAGCATAAGAAGAGCCTTCATTCGAAAGGTAAGGAGACCGTGTGGTTGATTAAAAAGCCAAATTAATTAATTAATGGCTTGGTGTATGAGGTCATTGTAGGCAGTGTTTCAAACTAATGAGCAGGACTGCTTTTGGGCATTTACATTTGCTGGATTTGTCAGTAAAAGCCATTTTATCCATCAACTGCCAGGTTATTTTATCCATTAACTATTTCTCAATTGAATTTCCAGAAAAATATATTACACCACAAAAGCCTATATATTGATATGGTGTTACAAAATGTATATAGATGTTATCCATATTGTTCACTCTGACATAGAGACCACAAGATCAAATTGACTAACAAACAAACACAACCTAAAACATAACCTACTTGTGGGATTTAATCAAGTACTTTATAAAAAAGATAAACATTCTTTATTAACAATGTTGTCTATGTCTGCTGCCTCTTCCCTCCAGGTGTTTTTGGTGTTGACTGCTCAGCTGATGGTGACCTTCGCCTTTGTGGCTGTTTTCACCTTTGTGGAACAAGTCAAAGTATTTGTCATGGTGAACACCTGGACCTACTTGGTGTCCTACTTGGTATACTTTGTGTCAGTCTGTGTGATCAGCTGCTGTGGAAGCTTTCGCCGAAGACATCCTTGGAACCTGGTTGCATTAGTAAGCCTGCTCAGACTTTGTTTTTTTTTTTATTACAGCTCAGAAAGTACAGTGAGAACTGATCTAAAACTTGAGCTCAGATCACTTCCTTGTTATACAACATGATAAACATTTTGTATATGGGTTTTTGTTGATTGAAGTTTTTCAGCCAACAATCGTGATATAAAACTTCCTCATTCTTAAAAGGCTATACAGATTATATTCAGATTAAGCCTCACAAATTACCATTGTAGTGTTTCTTAGTAATGCCATGAAACTGCAGTGCACTCTAATGTGCAGCAGTGCTAATGTATTTGTGTTTCTTGTTTACAGTCTGTCCTGACTCTCAGTATGTCTTACATGGTGGGAATGATTGCCAGCTTCCATGACACTGACTCCGTGGTCATGGCAGTGGGTATCACAGCAATTGCGTGCTTTACAGTGGTCATCTTCTCTCTGCAGGTTCGTATCCATCTCTCCATGCTGCTTGTTCATATTTCATGTACATTGATCATACTGTGATGTGACAGTAACCCTAAACTCACTCTTTGCCTCCTCCTGTAGACCAAGTACGACTTCACTTCCTGTTACGGTGTGCTTTTCGTCTGTTGTATTGTCCTGATCGTCTTCGGCCTCCTCTGCATCTTCATCCGTGACAGGATTCTGCACATTGTGTATGCTGGACTGGGAGCTTTGCTCTTCACCTGCGTAAGTCCTTAAACGAAAAATTGGCTTCCAGCTTTACTGTTGACGGTGATGACAGTCGTCATCAGTATTGGCTTTGTTAAAAGTAATATTGAAACCTGTGCATTGGAATCAAGGGGGGCTGTATGAGTACAAACACAACCTCGAACTAAAAAGCTTAAAATCTGTACACCATTAAAACCTGCTACATAAATCCACAAATAGCACTGAGCAGGCTGTAAATTATGTATATTTTTTTTACTGAAAAGATTATGGCGCTGTGGTGGCTTGCATCTCAAACCTTGAAATACCTTTAAAGGTGGCCTGTGGAGTTTGACCACAGCATAGCTCACAGCATTGAAACATTACATTTAAACAGTTAAACATTAATGTCTTTCCAGAAACTGTTTCCCATTAATCTGAAAAAGCCACAAAAATTATATCAGTTGCTCTCATTTCTACTACTTTCTGCCTTAGAAATAATTCTCTATGAAAACTGTTGACTTTTAGGTGCCCTGGTATGCTAATGATTAGGGTGACCACATAAACACAAAGTCCACGGTTTGATTTCTGGCTGGTGGGGTTCTTTGTTGCATGTCATACCCCTCTCTCCCCCCATGTTTCCTGTCTCACTCCACTGGCTGTCAAAATACCAAAAAACTAAAAGGAAAAAACATTGACAGAGATCTGGATTATACCGAGTAAAGGGATATTGTTTCTGGAAAGACGCATTGCGGTTGAGTATTTCAAATGTATTTTTTTACTGGCTGTGAGTACCACACATAAATGTCAGCAGCTAATACTTGGAAACCTAGACAAATAAAACCAAACTCTGTATATGTAGATACCATTAGAAGTAAGTGAGAAAATCTCTCCAACTGGATTGTGTCTGATTTTTCATTTGAGTTACAACATGTTTTGGTGTTTAGTGTAAAAAAAACAAAAATTTGACTCATTCTGAATTTTTTCTGTTTCAGTTCTTGGCGGTGGACACGCAGCTGCTGCTTGGAAACAAGGAACTCTCCCTGAGTCCAGAGGAATATATCTTTGCTGCCCTTAACCTGTACACAGACATCATCAACATCTTTCTGTATATTCTTGCTTTATTTGGAAGAGCAAGAGGGGGCTGAGCAGGAAGAATAATGGATAGAAATTCTGCCAGAAAAGTGTTTTGAGTTTATGTCTGGAAGTGAATTCCCATAATCTTGATTTTTGTCTTGTAGTGTGCACTGATCACGTAGTTGAGTAATTATTTGCTTCACCCAGTGTAAATGTTATTTTTAAACATAATATAAGTAGATAGTCTGTGTTGTAGTTTGGGGATTCAATAAGGCTTTCTGAGGAATATGACCTGATGTACAAAACTTTTTAGGAGATTATATCTTATGCCGTACAGAATCATTGCTGTAAATATTTGACAAATTCTAACAGGGCTTTTAACTGTACCAGCAGAAGCAGTTTGATCAGCTGTCATGGAGATGAATGGTCTTGTAACCTCTGGAAAAAGCTTGTGGACCATGAGCTGGGATTGTTTTGTCAGACCTATAAACCAGCAGGGATGAGAAGGGAAACAAATTTATAGCAGCTGCTGAACTTGCACGTCAACAAAGCCATCACCATGACAACTGAGCAAACTACATCATCGTGAAGACTGATATGTATGAAAGCCCTAGAATAAGCTAGTAAGGGGGCCTTGAGTTGGGATTTTTGTCAAACTGCTATTTCCAAGGTAAAGAATAACCTAATAAAAAGGTTCTTTTCTAAAATTGATCTCTGTGTTTTTTATGAAGTGGAAGAATCCTGACAGAATCCCTGCAGAGAATTTTGCCATGTTGTGATTTGATATGCAATTCTGCCGGCGTTCAGCAAGTTTTGGTTTGGTTGTGGCTCAGCTGTGAAACTGGGAGCCCCAGTATGGACCTGGAGGAAACTGTTGCTGACTTGTTGTCTAAAAATGAACAACTCGGGCAGGAAAATGATCAGTTGAAGGCGATGCTGAGTGTAGTCAAGGAAAACAGAGACCTGAGAGCCAGGATGCAGAGCTTCAACAATGACACCCTGGAGGAATTAACAGGTATTGAGTGTTTTTCTCTACAACTAGATGGCAGCCAGGGTACAGTTCAGTTGTGTGGATGTTAAAACACATTTGTTAACATGATGAGCTGAGATGAGAGCTATGGTTAGTTTTGTAACCATATTTGCATTGTGTACCTATCATGATATACAGTAAGCATGTAGCCTACAAGTATAGACAGTCATAGATTTCAAACATAAACATTCTTAATGGTTCAAACTTTATTTGTAGCTGCAGCTGCAGGAAATAAACTGATCCAAGTTGTTTTCTAACAATGCAACTCAGAAGAAATGTTTTTATAGCATATAGTGATTCAACTAGATAGATAGTAACTTTTTTTTTACTAACTGATTTCAGTGTATCTTTGTAATGAGATCAAACAAAAAGCTGAAATTCTTGTGAGATTTTTTTTTTCAGTTTTCTAAAAATATAATGAAATTAATCATATATTTTTGGACAGAGGGATTACAATCAAATCAATATATCGCTGAAGCCTCAGGGTTAATTCATTAGAATAAATGTAAATATATATATATATATATATATATATAAACTGCAGGTGTCTTTTCAAATGTTAAGGGACTGCTGGCGTCATTATCAGAAAACTGTGGAAGATGCTAATAGAAAACATTTCTCGGATATTATCCTGTCAAACTGTCACAAGCCTCGTGTTTTGTTTAACACTATTGACTCACTTCTGAATGCCCCGCAGACTGCTGGTATGGTGGCGTCCCCTGCTGTGTGTGAAAACTTCCTGCACTTTTTTATTGATAAGGTCACTTCAATTAGGGCTCAAATCTCACCTTCAGTTTAGGACTCCTCAATCCCTGTGCCCTGCTCTGCTGTCTTTGACCATTTTGAGCCTGTGACTTTTTCCTTTTTTACAGGAGGTTGTTGGTCATTTGAAGCCCTCAGGTCCCCCCTCGACTATTTAAGGAGGTTTTCCTCACTGTAGGACCATCTGTTATTGCAGTCATAAATAGCAGTCTGACCTCAGGTTTGGTCCCTGAAAATTTTAAACATGCAGTAGTACAACCTCTGATTAAAACCTTCTCTAGATCCTGCAGTTCTTGCTAATTTCAGGCCTATCTCCAAACTGCCTTTCCTTTCAAAAATCCTGGAGAAGATTGTGCACAGTCAATTAATGGCCTTTCTGGAAGAACATAATATCCTAGAGGTTTTCCAATCCGGTTTTAAAACCCTGCACGGCACCGAGTTAAGAGTTTTTAATGATATCTTTTTAGCTACTGACTCTGGTGACTGTGTTATCCTTGTGCTTTTAGATTTAACTGCTGCATTTGACACAGTGGATCATGAAATATTGATCTCATGTTTGAAGCAGTGGGTGGGCATCAGGGGCATAGCACTGGAGTGGTTCAGGTCGTACTTGGCTAATCGAACTTTCTGTGTCAGCCTAGGTGACTCTGTATCCTCCTCTGCTTCTCTGTTGTGGGGTCCCACAGGGCTCAGTTCTTGGCCCTCTCCTTTTCTCTCTCTATTTGCTCCCACTTGCTTCCATACTTAGGAAGCACGGCTTTTCATTCCACTGTTATGCAGACGACAGTCAGATTTATGTGCCTCTTAAAAAGAAAAATGAATACTCTGTCAGACTGCTACTTAAATGTCTCGACGACATAAAGGCCTGGATGGCTCTGAACTTTTTAAATTTCAATGATAAAAAGACGGAAGTGATGGTTTTTGGTGGCACCACTGGGACCCCCCTTGTAGATCTGGGTTCCTCGACTCAGTATATTGAACCTAGCATCACAAACCTAGGGGTTAAAGTGGACCCTGAGCTTAAGTTTGAGAGTAAGATCAAGGCTGTTGTCAAATCAAGCTTTTTCCATTTGAGGCAGCTGGCCAAAATAAAGCCAATTCTATCAAGGCAGTAGAGACGGTATTCCACGCCTTTGTTACCACTCGGCTGGATTACTGTAATGCACTGTATGTGGGGGTTAATGGGTCCTCCATCGCCCTTCTCCAGATGGTACAGAATGCTGCTGCACATCTTTTAACTGGCACACGTAAACATGAGCACATTTCCCCCATTTTAGCATCACTCCACTGGCTGCCTATTCAATTTAGGATCCATTTTAAAATTATTTTATTTGCTTTTAAATCCCTGAATGTTCTTGCCCCGCCCTACCTCTCTGAGCTTCTACACCCCTATATACCCGTCCGCTCTCTCAGGTCAGATGATCAGCTGCTCCTGAGTGTGCCTAAAACTAAGCGGAAGCTCAGAGGGGACCGTGCCTTTCCTGTGTCTGCTCCTAAATTATGGAATGATCTGCCTCTGCACGTTAAACAGGCCTCTTCTCTGTCTGTTTTTAAAACCCATCTCTTCTCTGTGGCCTTTGACACCTAGTAAGATGTTGACTTTATTTACTTGATTTAATTTCTTATTTTGATTGCTTTTTACTGCGTGGCTATTATTTTTACTCATATTTTATGTCTTTTCATTTTATTGTTATTGTTATTTTATATGTAATTTTGCGCCTCATGTAAGCTGTTCTGTCTTTTATTTATGATGTCTTATTTATTCTCCTGTACAGCACTTTGGTCAACTTTAGTTGTTTTAAAGTGCTTAACAAATAAAGTTGTATTGGATTGGATAAATGTATTAATCTTGCAAAATATCCAGTATATATGCTATATATACATACATTACAGCTATTATCGATGTCAGTAAATTGTCCAGTCATACTGTTACAGGGATATATTTTGTAAAGGTTGAATGCATTTCTTTAACTTGGTTTGTTGTGGAGAATTTATATGGTGCTAATGTTTTTTTCCCTCCATACAATGTAATTCAATGTAAGCACTGCAGTAGGTAACTTTAAAAAAAAAAATTGGTTAGTACATATAGGATCTGTAAAATTAATGTGTTTAATTGTTAAAGTGGGCCTAAGTATTGTGTTGTTATATATTCTGATTACCACTCACTTTGTCATCAACAAATTCTAATCAAATGGGGAACTGTAAAGTAATGAACAAGATTAGCTAGATCAGAATAAAACATTATTATAATACATTAATTCCACAGTAATATATGATAAGAAATAAAGAGACAATTCAAGTAAAATCAGGATAAGTTCTCCAATAAAGGTATGTTTTAAGATCAGCTCTGCTCTTAATAATATCTTCACTTTATTTTCATCAGTTTGCTCACCCATAGGAAGAAAACCATCTAGTCTGTGTCAAAACACCTGCGATGAAAGACAATTCAGAAAAGACTTGCAACAAACAAAATTCAAACATGAACACCGGACCTCATCCCCGGTCGACTTCAAGTCTTTCATCCAAAACTCGATGCACATAGACACAAGTGGGTTTCAAAGCAACCAGGTTGATATTCCCCTCGAGGTCAAAGGTGAGTGACGGTTGACATGCAGACATTTTAGAGCAATGCTGTTGCCCAAAAGAAACTTTTTAAAATTTTATTTATTTGTTTTATTGCAGGTCCAGACAGGCTGCTAGGAGAGATTGCCTACCAACTGGATAGGAGGATTCTGTCCCACATCTTCCAGGGCCATAGGAGGCTTTATGGTTTCACGCTGCTCAATATACCAGAAAAGATCATAGAGGTTAGAAAGGGAAGACTTGTATTCATTCATCAAAAACAGGATTGGTTGGTTGTTGTTGCAGTACACAGATAGGAAATCACATCACATGAGCAAAGTTTTAACCTTAGCTTGTCATTTAGAAACCAAAACTGACCATAACATTCCTCCTGACTCACAAAGAAGTCACAAGCCTTACTTCCTCTTTCAGGTGAGTGCGCACCCGCTGACAGGGAAGGTAGACGAGGGCTATCGGCTTCATCTCACTCACAGGTATGCTGACCTCATGGAAAGCCTGCACCAGCTGGGGTATAAAGCAGCACTTCACCCTCCGTTCACTGAATTTATTGTAAACGCTTACGGGATCCTGAAGGAGAGGCCTGGTGAAAACAGCACCCAGTTGATGGATTACAACAATTCAAACTTTCTCAGGAAGCTGATAATGACCACAGCACCGAGGAAGCTTCAGAAGGACCTGCTGCTTGTTCTCACCTGCCTCTGGAACATGGCAGAGAAGGATAAGAAGCCTCTCCTTCTCTGGTAGACATGATTGTCCATCCAAAGAGGCAGCAATTCCGGCAAACTTACTTTGTACACAAATTGGAAATAAACTGTGATATTGATATGACACAATACATTTTGTGTGGCTATGATTTTGTGAACGCAGCCATTCTATAGAGGGTAAAACCACAAATAAATACACAGTTACATATTTGCTAATCCATACAGTATACCTTTTGCAAGTACGCATGGTGAAATTGAACAGCTAACTCTATTAAAGACATAAAGCATCAGTTTTTCTCAAAATGATGTAAACTTGTCATAACAACCATGGTTCAATAATATACTTGTGCAGTATAATTACATAATCTGTGAAAGAAATGATCAATTATGATATGGATGTACTATATGCCCCCTATATCATGGATCATGTACTACAGCATCATGAGTGAGTCATGGACCCAGCCTGATAAAATTAAACTTCATTTCACTTGAGGGACTAGAAGCTATTTTAGAGTCTGATATGGGCCTTCCAGTTCTTTCTCAATACAACATCTACTTTTCCACTGGGTGAAATAATCCTTATAAGCCTACTCATTTATTTATTCTGCAGTAACCTGATTATGGGCTGTCTTGCTCCACAGTGTAATTGCTTTATCCCTGACAGCCTGTAGGTTAATATTTAAAGTTACAGGTTATTATCATAACAGAAACAAAAAATAAATGTGTATTTTGCTTGAATGGTACAATAAATTGTCCAATACCAGTTATGTTAGAAATCATATAAAAAATGATAGACATAGATGAAAACTATATTGTTTTTACTGTTTAAAATACTCCACAACTCACTGCATATTTAGTTGAGAATATTAGGAATCAAAAAGTAATCACCTGTTACAGTTTCTAACAGCAGATCCCAGCAGCCTTGAAGCAGGTCGCCTCAGGTAAGGTCACGTGTCGACGGGCGCGACACCAGCACAGCGCCATTAGGGGGGGTGGGGCTTAATAATGCCAGCCTCGGAGAGCGGGGTGGGTTTATGTTCAAGGGAAGTACTTTACTGGACCGGTTATCCGTTTTCAAGACATAAACTGCATATTTCCATTTGAACACGTGTCAGCCTAATACATAAATGTAATAAATACATATAAAATACATTAATAGGCTGCTCGCTGTGTGGGTTCATCAGACGGACCGTCCCAGTGCTAAGGTAAGACCATCCGGGCTGCCACGTTAGCTGAGTGTCTAAGCTAGCTACGCAACAGGACAGGTGACCGCTTTCATTTGTGATCATTACTAACAGGTGTAATAAAGCATGTGTTGCAGGTGTGTGAGGTTTCAGCGATACCGTGCTGTAACGACCGTACGCGGTCATATACTTCAGTGTTTATGTAGGTTTTAAAGTCTTTCTGAATCGTTCATGAAGTGAAACCGTTAGCTTAGCATAACTGCACACGGGCGATCGGAGTAACACAGCTGAGACTCACCTGACCTACCTGTACGAGTGTCCACTGAGCGGGCAGTGACACGGAAAGCCTGCATCCCTTGTATAGTAGAAGACTGTATGACGGCTGAAGCCATTGTAGCCGGCTTTGAATGGGGTCTTTGTATGTATAAATAGTGGTGTTAGGGGGGTTTGCAGCTTCCTGGTTGTATTCTGTGATTGTCAGATTGTCCTGTTTTGTCCAGCTGTAGGCATCAGAGCCCCGAGTCTGCAATGGGAGTGAACGCTGAGTGCAACACATTAGCGTTAAAGGGCAAATCCACACTAAAATAGTGTTTACATTACGGTCTGAGATTTCACAGTAAAATATATAGTATCCAGACTCCTTCATTAGATGTCATTGTATACCATATTATCATATTAAATGACATTGTATAACATATTATCATATTAGATTATGATATATTATATTTAAGATATTATTTTCAAATAAAAATATATCAAAACAAGATTATAGAATTATTTGTGTTAGCGTTTACCTTTGACACACCCAGTTACTTAGTAAATAATATACACAAAGGTGTGGTGTTAAAACAGGCTCATATCACTAGTGGTTAGTAACACTCTGCTGATGTGGATAGCTGGATTATTGGCTGTTTACACCCTGTTTTTCTCTTTGCCTCTTTACAAGTGATCATAATTCATTGCACAAGCACGCAGTAAGTCAGCCTGATCTTCCCTTGGCATCTGATTGCTTTCGGTTGCTTCATGTTTCCACAACTGCATGTATGGGCATGAATTCTATGTAGTAAAAGCCAGTTAGAACCCACAATGTTAATGATAATACAGGTTGTTGACATGTCTTAACAATTGAATTTCTTTCTCCTGTCTTAGTGTCCAGTGGAGTCCATGAAGGAGAGACCTGCACAGGAATGAGGCTAGAACAGGGAGTCCCGATGTTTATCCTGATTGTTTCATAGAGAAGGGACAGAGGCATGGCCCTGCGGGCGTCTCCGTTTCCTAATGGATTTGTTGCCGGCATCCATGCTGTTGGATGGGCATTCATCCTGCCTTGCTTCTGGTTTCTAGATCGCCTGATTGCTGTATGCAAGTCCACCACACAGGAGAAAACCAAGCGTCTGGAGCAGGAATGCTATCTCCATCCCCTCAAAGTCTTCTTCGGCTCTATTATCTTCTTCATTCTTTTTCTCGCTACAGCCCCCTTGGCCCTCCTGGGCTTTCTGCTCTGGGCACCTCTTCAGGCCTGCCGCAGGCCCTTTTGCTACCATAGAGAGACACCATCCACACCAGAGAAAGAGATACAAAGGGGCTTTGAGCTGGAAGGAAAGGCATCATTTGGATTTGCCTCAGCCAACCTGTGTCTGTTGCCTGACAGCCTGGCTCGTTTCAATAACCTGGGGCACACCCAGCACAGGGCAGCTCGAATTGGTAAACACATTGTGCATGGTGTGTGTCGTCCCCATATCCGCATCTTTGTTGACTCCCCTAGCAGCTGTGGGACTCTCAGCCCCTCTAACAGCATACTCCCCACAATTAACTCATCTAATTATGGGGCTACTGATAGACAGGCACAGCCCCCAGTGGGTCACCATTCAGACTCAACTGAGGGACATGTCTCAGTCCCAAAGTACAATAGTCACGTGGTAAGTGTGCCCTGTGATGATACAGAGGAGCCCTCTAGTGAGTCAACTCCTCCCATTTTTAATTCCAATCAGAACTCCAACCAGCAGGGCCGAACAAGTCAACGGAGTGCTCCCCGAGCTTTGCTCTCCCAGGGTCTTCGCCAGCAAGACAATGTACCCTGGGAAGTGTCGTCTCTGTTTCCAGCCAATTTGGACATACTGTGCCTAGAAGAGGTGTTTGACAAGAGGGCAGCACAGAAGCTCACCCAAGTACTAAGACCAGTGTTTGGACACATACTGTATGACGTTGGAGTCTATGCCTGCCAGCCACCCTGCACATGTTCCTCTTTCAAGTTCTTCAACAGTGGCCTGTTCCTAGCCAGCCGATTCCCTGTGCTCGAGGCCCAGTACCGCTGCTTTCCCAACAGCAGTGGGGAAGATGCACTGGCTGCCAAGGGCCTCCTTTCTGCTAAGGTACCTTGCTTAATATAAAGTTGCGCACCGTTATTGCGGTTGTTCTTTTTTTGTTGCAGAATTCATATTAACTACTTAGGCTTTTGTCACAGTATGAACACAGTGGAAATATGAGGTATTAATATGTTTGGAATTCTCAGGTGCTAATCGGGCGGAATCAGAAACAGAAGACAGTGGTTGGCTATTTTAACTGCACACATCTTCATGCACCAGAGGGCAAGTAAAAGTTTCTGATTAAATAAAAAAAAATCCTTTTAAGAAAACAACGTAAAACTAGGTCTGTGACAGCTGGTCCGTGTTTACTTTAATCAGGTGATGGGGAAATTCGCTGTGAGCAGTTGAACATGGTAACCAAGTGGATTGGTGATTTTCAAGCTGCAAACAAACACCCCGACGAAGACGTTGTTTTTGATGTGCTCTGTGGAGATTTCAACTTTGACAACTGCTCACCTGGTGTGTCTCTGTTAACTTTCTATTCTTTTATGATATTATCATTATTATTATTATTATTATTATTATTATAATATGCAACTTTTTTTTGAAAGCATCATTAACAAAAAGTTATTTTAGTAAATATGCATGTTTATCTGTGTGTCTAGATGACACCCTGGAACAGAATCACTGTTTGTTTGAGGAATACAGAGATCCTTGCAGGGCAGGGCCTGGAAAAGAGAAGCCCTGGGTCATTGGTGCGTACAATTTAAAATTATTAGTCTACATACATACAAAACAAATGATGACAATTCATTAGGTATTTCATTGGTTTGCATCTGAAGGTACTCTGCTGGAGCAGCCCACAATGTATGAAGATCATGTGAACACCCCAGAAAATCTACAAAGGTACACCCTTAATCCTCTGTAACACAGCATTACTAATGTGATATGACCAGAACTCCTCGCTCACTGTTTATTTACTGAAGCTGATTTGAGGATTTACTCCGTCTTCTCTGTGTGTCTGTGTAGAACTTTGGAAAGAGAAGAGCTGAGGAAGCAGTTCATCTCCCCTCCTATTCCTGCAGAGGGCTGCCCATTGGTGTACCCAGAGACTGGCCAGCCGTGGGTCGGACGTCGGATTGACTACATCCTGTACCGCGAAAACTCCATTTCAAAGCACTGCCGAACAGTACGTGTCCCCATGTGTTCTTACTCTTTTCTCAGTCTTCTTCTTCTCCGTTGCTTCTGTCTTCTTGAAGTTACAAGTTACTGTGAGATGCCACAAATAATTCTTGAAACATGTGCATGTATCAGAACTACTGACTGTTCTTATAGAAAATGTCTTAAAAGTCTTCCATTAACGAGCATAAATCACACACACACTCTCTTTGTCTCCATCCAGGAAATAGAAGAGATGACTTTTATAACCCAGCTTGCTGGCCTTACGGACCATATTCCCGTTGGCTTGAGACTGAATGTAATTATGGACCCCGACAGTGCTGGTGAATGAGGACTAAAGTGAACACAGTGTCACCTTCTAATGGGAAAGGGGAACAAAATATACAAAAATGTACATCACTCGAATCTATACAGCCACGACAATGTTTTGTTTACATACTTGAATTTGTGATTTTAATGACAATGTACTGACCAATGAGATTATACCTCAGGAATTCATGGATTTATTGAAATTTTATAATGTTTACAATTTTATACATTGAGGTGTGTACAGGGCAGATGTATTGAACAATAATTTTGTAGGATTTCTGATTTTTTTCCCCTACAGAAATAAATGTAAAGAATAAATTTTATACTTTGTCTCCTGCTTTTCATTTGCCATCAAACATGAGTTACATAATCTGACTGTGCCCCTATGATACAGTAACACAACACAATTCATTTGGTGACAATTCAGTCACGATGAGGAAGAGGAAGATAAGCCAAGTCATTTGCTGTTCAGAGGCACCATTTCCAGAGGAAGATGAGTATTTCCAGATTATTTGAGTATGAAATATCCTGAGACATTTATTATTAGCAAATATCAAACATGCATGATCAATCAGATTAACTTTATGTTTGAGGTTTTTCTTTTAACAGATTAATGTCTGATGAAGTTTTTATCACAGGGCACGCTAAACTGTCCACCGGTTTACTATTATAACGCTGAACTGTCCACTGGTTAATAGGTAAATACCCTTTGTGGCCTGTAGGCGTGCTCTTCCTGTACTTTAGGCCCAGAAACCAACGAAGAAGCCGTACAAACCAATCAAATGTCAAGGACAGGACTCACTTCCTGTTTTTAGCCCTTGGTGGACTCGTGGATAGCAGTCCAGGTGATATTGTGATATTACAAGTTAAAATAATGAATATCCTCAATCCCTGGAAGAAACTGGTGTCACCGGCATTCAAAAGTGTCTTAATAGAGCAAACTGGTGTTTTTAGAGGCGTCTGTTCGCTCCCCAAAGCTCGTTGTCTCAGTCCGTGTTTACCTCGACGTTTTACAGCTAATGTTTCCTCATGTCAGCGTTGGCGTCGTGTAACGTTGAACACCAGCCACTTAGACACAAAAAGGTTTTATTCCGAGATAAGTAATGAAAGCAGTGATTCAAAGAGCAGCACTGACGTGTTTCAAGAGGAGTCTCATGAGCTGGACAGTGACAGCAGTCAAAGTAAGTAGCTCTTAGTACTCCATTACTGAGTTTATTGATCAGGAGAGAGATCACTCATGTTTTTTTTAATGAATTAAAATATCATTTAAGTAATCTCCAAGTAAAAATGGCATTTAATCTTTTTAATTTGCTGCTTTTCTTTGCCAAGTGTAATAGTAAACTGGGTCACAGTTTCCATAAAGGTGACTTCTTCAAATAGCTCGTTTTATCCAACCAACAATCCAAAACACAACATTTACTATCATGTAAGAAAAGCATGGTTGGATTAGGAACTGTGACTGGCTTTGTCAAGGTGTTCTGGTGTTTTGCAGGCCGAACAATTAACCATGAAGATAATTGGCAAACTAATGGACAATGAAAACCAGTCAGTTACAGCCTTAGTTACTCTAATGGATGAGGTCCCTCAGTCACCCAGCATTGCTTTACCTATTGTATGTGACAGCATTTAGTTAGTTTCACCACACATAGAATTTCACAAGCTACCACACAATTAGAAAAACATACTGCTCCGCCATATTTATTGCTTGAATATTGCCAGACAAAATGTTTCCCTCTTGTTTTTCTCCAGGATCTTCTGTGAAGTTCTCTCTTGATGTGCTGGTGTCTCTGCTGCGTCAGGAAAACGCAGTGGACATATGTGTGATTAAAGTACCGGAGCAGATCAAATACGCAGAGTACTTCATTGTCGTCAGTGGTGTATCACCAAGACACCTCCGTGCAATGGCACTTTATGCCATCAAAGTGGTAACTAGCATTGATTTTCTCATTGTTAAATGTTAATATGTGCGAGCCGTGTTCTGTTTTTAAAACTTACACCAAGGATGTTTTTCCTCCAGTACAAGTTTCTGAAGAAAACAGGAGAGCAAAATGTCAAAATTGAAGGAAAGGATGCAGAAGACTGGATGTGTATTGACTTTGGTATGTAAAACTTAGAGATCCAATCGTCTTGTGTCCAATTTAGACAGCTGTTTGTGTAAATTGATGTTTGTCAGTAGAGTTCTCAGCGGTGTTCACTTTCCTGCTCTTTTCTTTGACTCAGGGAATATGGTTGTCCACTTCATGCTACCAGAGACCAGAGATGTGTATGAACTGGAGAAACTCTGGACTCTCCGCAACTTTGATGATCAGCTGAAGAGCATCCCTTCTGAGACGCTACCAGAGGACTACATATATGATGTTGAAGTCACAAAGTGACAAGACAAGACAAGTTGTGCACAGAATATACTACATGTACTGCTCTGAATGCATAACTTACTAACTTTGAATGCATCCTCTCTTTCCCCTGTGAGTAGAAAGGTGTACAATAACGGTGTGAATTATTTTTGAGACTGCTAAAGAAAATATGTGTTTTAACATATTCTGATGGATAAAATAAATGATTTTAATAACATTCTAGATTTCTTGGAATTATTTGGTAAATACTTCCTTGTATTCTAACAGTTATTACTCGATTTTGACTAGGTTTACTGCAAACTAAATATTTGGCCTGATAAGATGAATTGTAGTTATATAAAGGAATGTAAATGTATTAATTATCAAAAGCTGCTGTAGCCCCAGATTGGTGAGTCAGAGCCTCTTTAACATTTAAAGCTAAATGAGTATTCAAATCCTTAGTAAAAATCTTTAGTTCAAAATCTAAAACTGACCTTTTAAAGTAACATTATCTAAAAATGTAGTGGAGATAAAAGAATAAAGTCTCATGAAAAGGAAATATTCAAGAAAGTAAAAGAACTTCATAGTTGTTTTGGACCACATTACTAAAAGTGCAGTTTCTCACCTTCCACCTATGGTTCCCATTCCTTGAGCAGTTTGTTGTCTGCAGAGGGCTTTAAGGAACATTTTCCCAAAGAAATGATTATGTGGGGGTCACCAAAACAAGCCATTCCATTGATGCTTTCAACCAAATCGAACAAGCCAATTGCTCCCTCCAGGAAAAGACAAGTGTTTGGCCAAAGTATTAGTCCTGACTTGCATTCACTCAGCTCTTACAAGTGCTAAAAGATTGCTCAGGGAATTGGTAAGACACAGGTAGGTCGGTCAGCAGCACTTATGCAACTCAAAGAGCCTCTCCTGTGTTTGACAGATAACCAGCATTTACCATTCCACATTATACCATGCTATGCTATTCTAAAATGTACTGTATGATTTGATTACATCAGGAAACTGGTGTGTCAACATTTTAAGTTTCTGAAAACCTGCGTTTTTGATCGGAACCAGAGCCTGAAGTTAGAACCAAACACAGATACTACATGAGTGCATGCACACACATACATACACACTATACCCTAATGACTTCCTAGCAAGTGACCATTCTGCTTCATTGACTTGTTGTAAGTCATGCTGGATCAGATCATTAGCTAAATGTAAAAATGTAATGAAGTGGGGGATGTCTACATGGAGCCTGACTGCATTTGATATTTGAATGTTTTTGCGTGTTGTTTGTACATACACAAGAATGACTCAACAGCTACACGTAACAGCTTTACACCAAAAACCCACTTAATGCAACTATGTAGACTTAAAATTATTAATCATGTTTATAGTTTATTTTTTATTTTTATTTTATTAAGACAGGCTGTCAGATAATTATTTTAAACAGTAGGGACGAAGGTGGCACGTGTGAGATTGTACAAAACCAATTAATGCATCTTTAAACCGAATACTTTTTAGCAGATTAGCAAAATGACTCAAGGGAAATTCAAAAACAAGTGAAAGAAAAAGATTAGTTCTGTGTCTGACTCCAAAGTTGCTACTGTGGCTAATGTTCCCATTAGTTGCACAGACATTTTTACCCACTGCTGTGTAGCCATTAATGGCAATGGTGTTAATATACTCTATGATGGAGGAGACTGTGAAGAACCGGAAGATTAGTTAACTTTTGGAAACAGCAGTAGCAGATTCATCTTCATTTATTGCTGCATAAAGTAACACTTGACACAAAACTGTTCATTCCATTGCACTTCTTTGCAAACAGAATTTAAAGCTTATCATGCTTTATTTACAGTATAATGCCATCATGGTAACCCAGTGTTGCACAGATAAAATAATAAATATATAATAAAGTAATTCATCGCTCCCTGGTATGCGATTGGTTGAAAATAAATCATTTATCTGTACAACCCCCAACCAAGACATGCCCATCTACAATCTACTCAGTTAGCGTTCTAATATGTATTTGCAGCATAAAAACAAGCAGAGGAAGTGAGAACTTGGGTTCTGTGATATCAGTCTGTGTCCTGCAGGTGGGTTGGCACTTAGCTGCAGTCTTCGGTGCTCTCTCAGTGGAGGGTGTTGATGATGAGTATTAGCTACCAGAGAGCACATCAACTCATATCAGACATGACACTTAAAGGACTCTGTGCTTTATCCACCTGGCTCTCATTTGTCAGCAAGGTACTGTGCAGGCTGATGTGACTATAGTATTTAAATCAGGCATTTATTACTGACCATTCTCTAGATAGCACATCTATTATTTCTGAAATAAAGCAAGTGGTGAATGGTTCTTTATGACTCTACAGAAATCTATGACCAGTATAAGTATGACTGCATTTTTAAAAATTGTTATTGCAAGCATAAAAACTGTAATATTACTTTACTTTCTGGAAATGTTATGCTGACAGATCGCTATTGGGACTGATACTTTGATTTGTGTCATCTATTGAAATCATTGTATTAAAATGTAAACACATTTTGCTGAAAGAAAGAGGTAATTCTGGCATAACATCTAGAAATTTGGTGTGTAATCTGAACATTTTTAGTGCGTGTGTTCTTTTCCTGCAAAAACGGTGCTGTCGCTCTGGAATTGAGTTCTCATATGACTGTCATAGGAAACAACAGCACCAATCTACTGTCAAATTTCAGTAGAGTGCTCTTCAAAGAAAATAGTTGCCATTAAAGTCATCTTACCATTTAGGGGCTGAAAGCTTTTTGTGACATCAACTGGAATTGAAAATGTATGGGTTTGAGCGATTTACTGCCCTTTCTCGGAGGATTTGGTGTAATTTGAAAATATGCTTGCTGGTTTGGCCAAAATGGTTTAGTTAAGACAACTGTATATCAATCGGGTTTAAAACAGAGTTGTAGTGCCACTGTTTTGTACACATGTAGATACACAAGAAGCAATCTTAATAGAATGCAAAAATTAATTGATTTGCATTCACAACATTTATTAGTAAGTTTGAAATTTTGGGAACATTTTTTCCTTCTGGCTAACAAATAACCCTGACCCTTTCAACCCTTAGGAACATTTCATTAAAACACTTAAAGACTCTTCAGAAAAGACAAAGGAAAAGGACTATAGTCATTACTTTTAATTCTAACAGTTGGATTATACATTTCTGATTATATATACATAATTAAAGTAATGATTGGTTTTGTTTCTCAGTAGCAGACCCCCCTCTGCATTTCTCTATAAACCGAGACATCATCTTTTCAAACACCTGGGGAATCTTAATGTATTCAAACTTAATGTGAAAACAGCAGACCATCATCAGACATTGGAAGTTACACATCATCAGTTTTATTGAGACGTGTCACGCTGGTTGTGACTCTTATCTGGACTCTTTAAATTAATAAAGGTTTGTCTCCGCTTGTGCCAGTACTTAAATACAATTATTTTTCAACAAAATTTACTGTTATCAAGTGTATTTTCTACCCTTCGTACATTTAAGGCCTTCCTAGAAACAAGAATGATTAAAGATAAATTAACTACATTGCAAATTGATATGAATCAATTATGTGCGCCTCTGTGATTTTATGTATAATTAAGCTCATCGTTTTCAGCAAAGAGGTTGATCATGCTGTAAAACACAAATTTGGGCTAATGTAATTCAGGAATAATAAAATCCCTACAGCACACATGATGACTATCTGCAGTAAATTTCAAATGCAGTAACTGTAAACATATAAAAACTTTAATTATTCTAATGCTGTGACACCTTACATGTTTTGAGAAATGAGTATCTCCAATTGTTTCACAAGACATTCAGGGATGACTAAACTAATGAGGCAGTGGATATTTCTCAGGAGCACCCTAAAAGTTATCATCAAAATCACCCTCCCTCCCCATCTGACACACACGCTATAAAACACAGGCAATGTTGAGAATCCGACAGAGGTGCCTTCAACAGCGAGTAAACCGACTACAGCAGAGTTACTTTATAATGTAAGGAAATCTTTTGTTTCTCACTTTTTAATTTAAAGGAAAACTTTGTGATTGAAAGTCACTAACTATTGTTTGATCTGGCAGGTTTTATGGTGGTGTATCAATCCAATATGGAGCTTCAATTTCTGATTTTGGTATCATTACATTCTTGGATAATAATTTGTTATTATGCATTTTGAGTATTAATGCTCCCTGTGATCCAGGATTCACTCCGGCGCTGTGATGTCGATGAGTATTCTGGCTTTCTGCCTGCTGGCTTGTATTCATTCTGGCATAAATGCATATCCAGCCAAGCCTGCCAGTCCCCGCGATGGCGCACCACCTGAGGAGCTCGCCAAATATTATTCTGCACTACGACACTACATCAATCTCATTACGAGACAGAGGTTGGTTTTTGAATTTCTATAAAGTAAGTCAGAAAATGTTAAATATACATGGAAAGAAGTTTTGATATGTTGCTTGACTCTTTTTGATGCACAGGTATGGAAAAAGAGACACCCCAGATACTGTATTTTCAGATGTGTTGATGAGGGAGAGCACAGAGAGTATTCCAGGATCAAACTATGTCAGGTAAAATATGTAAAAAATACAGAGCATGGTTGCTTTTTGTATATTTTGTAATGCTTGTTTTAAAAAAAACAAATTTGTGTTGCCTATATAATGTATGTCATTGCATGATAAAACATGTACAATGAAAAATACAAACTTTCATACAGTCTAGTGCAATAAATATGTTCCTGTGAAGCTCATAATATTGTCAAACAAGTGTTGATTTTCAAGGATGTAATTTGTGGTGGTATTGTATTAGATTGAATCTTATCATGAGATGTTTCTAATACACTGTCTTCCTCTTGTATGGACAGGAAAACATAAAATTTGATTTGAATGTTTTTCAGAAAGTTTGAAACTCTTTTTGACTTCCTCGTGTTGTAGGTATGATGGGCTGCCACTTTGGTGATGCTGCTGGAGCCGTCATGTCCAGGCTTACTTTACCACAAAGCTGCTGCCCTGTCTGTTACTGACATGAAATAAACTTGTGTTGCATGGAATAAATATTGTGAAATGCAAACACTTTGGTCTGTAATGTTGCCAGCGCTACTAAAAACATATTTTTAACTAGTATGCTCATCACCTTACTCACTTGGTTTGACAAGTACTGAGTAATGCTATCGAACCTGTCTAATATCTACACTATAGGTAGGTCTTGTGTTTCATTCACTGATGGAGTAACAGTGCTCTCTACTGGTGGACCAGCATCTAAAACTGTTTTAGAAGTTTTCATGCGTGGCAAATAAATATCTTATAAATCATGTTTGCTGCTAATGTTCTATTTGGGGGAGAGTAAAATAGAAATTAGCTGTAAACTGAGCACTTCAAAGTGCATTTATTTCACTTGTTATATCAAGCCTGCTGAGATGTACCTGCACTCTGCCTGAAAACAGATTAACAGTTTAATCCTATCAAGTGACCTGGATATATCAAAAGCGAATCACGTAACACTGACAATTGGTTAACTCTGTATTGACAACACGTCCAAGCTACTGGCTCTCTATAACTATAGTGAAACCTGGCCTCTCTGTAAAATAGTTTCAAGGAAGCTAAATCACCAGATTTGGTGAATGGGATATTGCTTGGTGGTTCATGCAGACCTGCAAAGGGGCGGTGCAAATCAGATTAATTGCAGCCAGATATGGGTATAGTATATTACAGCTCCAATAACTGTAGCAGCATGTACAGTATACCGTCCTCCTGGGGTAAGTGTATCCGCGGCATTGAATTCTTACATATGTTGTTTGCCATTCAATAATAGATATGATGGTGCATGATATTTTGCCAGAGCAAGAAGAGAAATGTGTTCTACTGGTGCACTGATAGATTCAGCAAAGCGCTCTAATTTGTCATCTAGTGTGGCACATTTTTTAAAACTCAGAACATAAGGTTCAAAGTCCTGGTAGCTTCACAAACTAAGCAAGGTCAAAGGGCAAACGTAGGTTTTAATGTATGGTGACCGAATAGTTTTATTGGGCTGTCAACACAGTATCAAAAGCAGCCAGAGGGTATTTTTACATTTGTGTATACTATTGGATTTAATGGGGCAACAATGTTTGATTGATCCAGATCCATTGATGCAGTTTACCTCCACACACCTTTTCTCAACTACTGGTATTTCTTTTAGGTTAAGTTTCCAATACATTATATGGTGGGCTGTGCAGGATTTCAGTGGGTTAGATCTAACTTGAGAGGCACTGGATGTCATTAGCATAGCACTCTGGACGGGGAACCGAGGAAAGGGGCGCAGACAGGCACACTGGAAATGCAGTAACAAGTTACTATTGCGCAAGTGATCTGCGAATTAGGACACTCTGAAATGAAAGGAAGAATGAAAGCGTGACTGGGTGGTACCGATTATATTAGGTAAGGTATCATTCATTCATTTTACCGGACACTTCTTCAACAATCTCATGATGGGACCCTCTCCTTTCTATCACCGCTCCACCAGCGAACTGGAGAACTGGAGCTAGCTAGTCTGAGCCACATGATATTACTGTTAGCTACCAGCTAATTACTGGACTTTAACTTACTGTACCCTCACTACTACCTCTTCACACAAGAGCATTAACAAGCCAAGATAATCTGGTTAATATTGCAGCCTTCTTTATTAGTTTGTGGTAACGGGATTGGTCTGTCTGAGTGGTACTTATGTGAAAGCGTACGCCAGTGTTTGCTAGCAATTATTAGCATTGCTACCTTGCCTGCATATGACCTACGAACTAGCCATGGCTAGCACAAACTCACAACGGGACGGGCACTGACAGCATGTAGGCGCAGTTTAACATATTTCAAATGATGTCTGGTGGTTGTGTGTTAACCCTAACATTAGCGTTTACCACCGCTAATTAGCTACCAATGGCTAGTTATCGTGTTTAGCTAACTAAGTTACCTCACATTGGAAGGGGGGATACACGTGCCCAGTGCGCGTGTAGCTTGACAGCAAACCACTGCAGCCAACACGTGTCTTGAACTCTGATTTTTGGTTTAGCTCCTCTGTTAGTTACTTTAGTTTTTTCTTCCATGACTTTAGAACAACAACTTAGAAACTTAACTTGAGACCATGAGCCACTAGCGGCCACCCCCCCCGGCTGCTCCTCATGTGTTTGATAAAGAACCGGTGTAGGCGGTCACTGTCTCAAGCAACTGAGCTCCATTCATGAAGACTGGCTTTTAACTTACTGATGATTGTGAATAAGATCGAAGTGGGGTAACTTACGTGGTATTAAACTTGTCTTCAGTACACTGTGTATCTTGACGCTTGAAGCCTGCTACCACATATAATGGCATTATAGGCCTCCTTTCTTTTCACCCTTATTTGAATATGATGTATGATGTTAGACAGGGGTTTTATCTCAATTATAACCTGACCTATACTGTTTTTAGATTAATATTGATAGTGCTATATATATATATGTTGTTATTATTATTGACTGTTTCTAAATTACCTCAGACTTAGTGTGGCATTTCTGTACTCATCTACTATTATATACACAGATACCAATATATCTGCAATAAGCTAATATGAGCAACCCAACACTATCAACAGCAATAGATTGAAGTTACTTTAGCATCTGTTAACATGTAATCATGGTCCTATTTGAGGTTTTATGGTGAGAATTGAAGCCTAACTCTGAAATCTTTTAACAGGCCAGATTTCAAAGGTTTATTTCTAGAAAGTGTTGGAGTCAGTGGTTGCCGTAATTTCCAGCCAACATTATTCTTTCTTTGGAAATGTTTGCCTTATTTTAATGTTGAGAATATATTAGGCAAACATTGCAGAAAACCATGCATGTTTTCACATGAAATATGAAGTGTATTATGCTAAACAGACAGTGGGGATACAATAAAACCTGCTGTTGACAACAACTAGAAAAATCTTGATCTCTATAGGCCACAAAATGTGTCCCATTAAGCGAAAAGCTTCTTGAAGTTACAACTTTTTGATCTTTTTAAATCCACAGAACACAATTAATATTTCAATCTCACTCTTTCTGAGCTGAACTTTGTCTGACTTGGTGGAAGTAATGAGCCTGTTTAAGCAGACTTTAGTCATGTGATTGACTTGGCCAATGATAATGGCTGCATTACAGTACTACTGAACGAACAGGAGAAGTCTGGGTAATGAAGGCAGGTAGGGGTGGAGAGGAGCTTACTTACCTGCATGAGCTGCTTTTGTCAATACCTAGGAGGGATTTTTTATCAAGGATCATTTTGACAAAGAATAAGAATGATTTCCCGCCCTTCCATTGTCTCTCTAGTCCAGAGGAACCAGATGAGTGTTTTGTAGAAAACGTGGGACTCCGCGTCAAAGTGCTGCACTGATGATTTGATCACAGTTTGTAGGTGAGTTTGTGCCTTTCTTGTTTCTTTTGGCTCTGGATGATTATCTGCCTTTTAGCTGTCCTTGTTGACATTGTGTGCATGGCGTACAATACTGCATTTATAATATTTATACAGTTCAAAGTTTACAGTTAAATGGGGCTGTCTATGCTCAAACAGCCCATTCTCCTGTTTGTACACCTACCCACCAAGGCATTGGCAGGGCCTCACTCTATTTGGAGATCATGTTTACACAGAGTCCTCAGGGGCCTCCCTGTGTGTGACTGGCACAACCTTTAGCCACAAGGATGGGGAGACTCATCCTTTGTTACTCAATGGCCCTCTTTGTCATTCCCTTATTTCATAAGAGCCCTCTGTACTAACATGAGCATAAAACACCAAGACAAACAAATGTTTTCTGTGCTATTTTTTGTGTCTCATACTCCAGAACTGTGTCTACATTTGTTCAACAGGAACACATGTTAGTAAATGTCAGCTTGTTTATTTCATGACATGGCTTGTATAATGTAGTTATCTTAGCTTATAGTATACTGACTTGAGCGGGTTTCCTACCTTCTCCAGCCTTCCAGTTGCTCTGGTTTCTGTAAGCGGGCAGTTGGGTGGCTTTTGACTGTGTAAAGAGAGTTTCTACGTCCTGAGCTGAAGAATATTAAACATGACTGTGGCCAATGCAAAGTCTGGTAAAGGTAAGATGTCAAAGACCTAACCTATCGTTTGTGTAGGAACTGTTGCAATATTGTGTGCAAAATCTTACATTTCATTTCCATTTGAATGGGACTGTACCCACTGCCCAGAGATAGTTGTGTGGGTGTGTTTTCAGCTGCCTCTGAAATTTTGTGTGACTCTCTATGAAGGCCTCTCTATATTAAAAGTGCACGATGTACTTGCAAAACAGCCAAATGGGCTTTCGTAGTGACTGCATTTATTTCTGTGAATTGTCAGATCTCAATTTGCTGTCTACTTCTATTGTCTGGGGGTAAAAGGGCAAGTGGACTACCTATTCCCCTAAAACAGAAGGCATGGCATATATTAATGGAAAGATAATTATTGGGAAGTACAGAAAGATAGTATATGATTCATTTTATTGAGTCAAGTTGGCTGATTATTCAAACTACTAGCTGTATGTGTCAGGGGTTTTGGCTCCAGTTTCTTGCTGTATGATTTCAGCCTCTACAAGGCAGATCTGTTAGTTGAACAATCCCTTTGTGACTCTGTGTGCTTGTTGTTGCTGCAATGGAAATAAGGGATGTTCTCTGTGAATTGGCCCATTGATTGACTGTCCACTTATTGTTCTTGCCTTGTAAGCTCTTATTATAGTCACATTGTTTTGCTGTTTTTTTCATCAGTTTTCATTGGTTCAGAATTTTTATTATTTTCATTATTACTGGCGCTTAACATTTCTGCCTGCATTCACAAAGCAGTAATTCGCAAGCTTAAAAGAAGTAAGGATAGTGGTTGGCTTTCTTTTAGACCAATTTCTTGACGTGTATTTATCCCCCTCAGCCATGCAGCAGGTTCTCGACAACCTCAAAGACCTGCCATCAGGCACAGGAGCCAAAGATATCGACCTCATCTTCCTCAGAGGCATCATGGAGAGCCCCATTGTCCGGTCACTTGCTAAGGTAAGACACACACTCACTCCAACTATTCCAGCGCTATGTGTTTTCACACACACACACACACACACACACACACACACACTAAAAGTTATAATCTTATTAGTAGGCCATCAAGGTCTAGCTATAGTTGAGAGGAGGAACAAATGTCACTGTGAGCCAGAGGAAATGAAGGTGTAATAAGTGTCACATGTCTCCAAACATCAAAGATGTCTAACTCTTCCTGGCAATGTACTCAACAACATACTTCACTCAGGAAGGCAATGGGCAGATGCTTATTGTGGGCTGGAGGGAGAAATACTTTGGGTCGATCTCTCTCTCTCTTTCTCTCTAAAATGTACACGATATTTGAATAAGCGCGTGTACCCGCAGACAAACTGCATCTTGTAATGCGCTACCCCATGATGTTATCTAATCTTGCACTGTGCCCGCTGTTCCAGTGTCAAGGTTTCAATTACTTACAGGAAATGTCTCCTGGCCCGGTATAACTTGTGCCTGTCATTAGAGGAGAGAAACATGCATCAGACCTGTTGGGTGGTACAGTACACCTCCTGTAGTTTTTACATATTGAACAGAAAGGAATGTAAAACCTTCCTAAAAAAGGAGTTTTCGTTTATGCTTGAGCTGACAGAAAATTTTCCTTTTAACACCAATTAAGCCATTTTTTCACATAGCTTAAAGCGGTTGACGGCACGATGAACAAATGGCTTACATAACAAAATCTCTAATGCAGATTGAGGTCATTAGGTCCATCTACTGTATCTATGAATAGAATGATTTAAATAGAAAACCTGACACAAAGGCAGGTTCTTGTCCTCGTTTCTAACACTAGAACTTCTTTCCTTGGATATGACTTTTTTCCCTGTGAGATTCTGGTGTAATGGCATACAATGAGTACTGAACTGTTAAGTTCTCTTTGTCTTTTGTGTGTCACAGGGATAGTTTGATTTAAGAGCCATTAATGTTTCACATTAATAAAAGTCACAAAATATGGCATTTTAATTTTGTCTAACTTCTATAATTTCACATACTGTGTGTGGACACAACAACAGCAGCACCTGAAATAATGTAGTGTTATATCAGTGGAGGATTAACCATATGATCTCATTTCCCCACGTGATAAGCCTACAGCACAGTGTTAAACTCTTCTATGTAGAACCAACATAGCAGAATGGGTGCTCAACTGAGATCCCAGAAACGTACTGTATCACTATACAGTACAGTATACTACTGCTAAGTCAATATTGAGATACAAAATTACTATAAAGGAAAATTTGATCCTTTTTGTGCATCCTACTGTCAGGTGTCTATCTATCCTTTTTTTTCTAGTCTGCCAAAACTGAACCAAACCCCATTTGTTCTCAGTGTAGCGGGTCAAGGAATTCACTGTGAAATATTTCTTAGATTATCTTGAGTTGTCCAACAATTTCTGGATTCAACAGAATTAATAAATTCCAGCCAGTGGAACAGCAGCAGCCTTAGGACAAGGAAACAAGATTTACCTGATGGGAATAGGTGGGCTGGACAAAAACGTTCATAAATGCCCTCTATTATGTCATGAAGTAGCCGGTAAAAAGATTTTGTTTTACAGAAAGTCAAAGTATTGTAGAATCATGGTTATGATATGGCATTTACACGCTGGACAAAGTTAGTGGATGTGTTGTTTTGTGTTGTTATACCCACTTTAAACATAGTAAAGGGTTAATAACAACCAAAAATGCTCATCCTTAATACAAATAAAGAGATTGAATTTCATTGTATCTGCTGTGTGGTGTTCTAAGCTCTCAAAAGTGTTTTTGTGTGTGTGTGTGTGTGTGTGTGTGTGTGTGTGTGTGTGTGTGTGTGTGTGTGTGTGTGTGTGTGTGTGCGTGTGTGCGTGCGTGCGTGCGTGCGTGCGTGCGTGTAGGCCCATGAGCGTCTCGAGGAAGTTAAGTTGCAAGCTGTGCGGGATGATAATGTTCAGCTGGTCACAGAGATCCTGGATTCCCTCAACAACCTGCCAGAAAAAGATGCTGCTGTTGCTGAGCTTGCCAAAATCCTTCAGGAGCCTCACTTTAAGGTATCTTAGACAACATTGCTCTTGTACACAATTGTTTCTGGGTTCAGTGAGGTGTGAAAAAGACCAGAGATTTGTCGAGTGAGTGGTCTGAAGTGCCGGCAGCTCAGGAGGTCAACTAGCTCTGCTCCCTTGTCGGCCTTAATATTCTCGACCACTTCCAAGCTGCAACATGGGAGGGTGGGGGTGTATTTCCTTGGGCCAATAGCAGGCTGAGTTATGTGGGTAAAGTCAGGGGGAGAATACTATGTCACCTACTGTTTCAGTAAATCTTCACATTTGCTGGTGCAGTTTGTAGTCTCTGACCAATGCTAACTCTATGTTGTGGCTGCTAGGGTAAGAACAAGATTGACTTATCTTCTCTATATATCACCTTGTCATCTATCAATGCAGTCATAAAGGTGTCTTTTATAACGGAATGTGTGCAGTAAAGTAATTTATGTCTTAACTTATTCATGGCAGTAAATCAAATACCAGTGCTAGTGTCGGTCACTGGTGAATGAGCCTAATGATAGCGGTGATTATTGTCTTTCCTAGTCAGACAAAATGTTACCTTTAAGAGTATAGTGATTGTGAACCAGGTTTAGTCTTATTTCTGTCTATATGTTTCTCTCTTGTTCCTCTTTTTTCCGCTGCAGTCTCTGATCGAGGCTCATGACAAAGTGGCTGCAAAGTGCTACGAAATGCCCCATGCCGCAGTGAACAGCGATGCCTCGATGACGAGTTCACTTATGCCCGCTGATGCTGTCAGGATGATTGGCATCCAGAAAAAAGCTGGGGAACCACTAGTAAGTTAGCCAGCCATATCAACCACAGCTCTGCAGGGGAAGCATGTGACACTCCTGTTAGGTTGTTAAGTATTTTACACATCCTCTTTCATTGACCATCTGCTAAGTCGACATGAGTTGCTGCTTTCACAGCAACTAAGACAGACCATCCCCATAAAATAGATCTCTTGTGTGATTTATGCAGTGCGAATGTATGATATTAAATGACTCCTACTCTCTTTCAGGGTGTGACGTTCCGTGTGGAGCGGGGAGAGATGGTGATTGCACGGATCCTGCACGGCAGCTCGATTGACAGGCAGGGCATGCTGCACACAGGGGACATAATCCGCGAGGTGAATGGTCGTGAGGTCGGCAGCAACCCCAATGAACTCCAGGAGCTGTTGAGGGACTGCAGTGGGAGCATCACACTCAAGGTCCTGCCCAGCTACAGAGACACACCGGCACCTCCACAGGTGAGGAAGGGGGGAAGGCTGCATGGCTGCATTGGAGAATCAGTAATATTGGATACTTGGACGAGCTCTTTTAAGTGAGATTGAAAGCTTGAAATCAGTGCGTTATGCGTGCTGGAATACAGGATGTGTTGATGTGTATGTCCGGGTGTGTACAAGATTCTTAGGTCATACTGTACCTGTCAGGGATTGGTTGAGAGCTGCCTGACCTGGGTGATCTCAGAATGCCAGGCCTCTGAAAATTGAGCCAAGGAAGGGTCTATTAATAACACTCCACACACTATCTGGGACATATCCAACACCATTCACTGGAGAGCCCCCACCCTCCCACTCTTACAGTAACAGGCACACACAGCAGCTGACACGGAGGAGCAGTATGTAGGGTTATGTCAGACACTGACCTTTGTGCCGAGAAAGATTGGTTGCTCTGATTCTACTGTTCGGTTATGTGCTTGTTAGATTTCAGTTCAATCAAAGTCCACTGACAGACACGTGACGAAAAGCTTTGTTTTGATCCTGTCATTGAAAAACTTTCCCAACTGCTCACACTGGTCTCTTCAAAGATGTGGTCAGTGTTCATCCACCTGATTCAGCCTATTGTCTTTGAGCATTGACAGAAATGTGGACTATAAAATCTTTTAAAAATAAAAACCTGATACTGACGCTTAAAAATCATCAAACATGACGCAGAAAAAGAGCACGATGTAAACACCGATATTGGTCCTGCTGTGTATGGTCTCTGTATTTTTATTGAATTTTTAATTTTAATTGTTTGATCTTGCACACACCTTAAATTTTAGGTTTATCTGAAGCCACACTTCAACTATAATCCGGCCACAGACAACTTGATCCCCTGTAAAGAGGCAGGATTGGCCTTTTTCAAGGGAGACATCCTCCATGTAGTCAACAAGGAGGACCCCAACTGGTGGCAGGTGAGTAGGCACGTTTTGCTCAGCAGTGAAGAACAGTGCTGCACTATTTATTAGAAGTGGGGTGGAAAAACTAAATGTTGAAAGCTGCTATAGGCAGCTATGGATGAGGAGGAAGAAGTTTGTGACAGATAGACTCAAATGCTTCACTTCTTTTTTTAAGTAAAGTATTTAAACCAATTATCTCTCAGCATCTCCCAACTAATGTGCACTTCCATGTAGGCACGGAAAGTTGTTGGTGGAGCCACTGGTCTCATCCCCAGTCAGTTCTTGGAGGAGAAGAGGAAAGCTTTTGTGAGAAGAGACTCTGATACTTCTGGTACAGGTCAATACAAATCATGTTAACTCACCATGCTACTCTTGTTTAGTTATCATGATAGTCAGGAAACTCTTGTCTTTAGTACTACCATGTGATAATCTGACACTTTGATTGGTTTCAGGCATGCTCTGCGGAACTCTAACTGCGAAGAAAAAGAAGAAAAAAATGATGTACCTCACTTCAAAGAATGCAGGTGTGTATTACTACTGGTTCTTATTTTCCTGTTTCCCTAAGAGATGCTGTGAAACATTTGTGAACCGTGACAATATGGTACTCATCCAGCTTGTGTATTCCCTTGAACAGAATTTGACCGCTATGAGCTGCAGATCTATGAGGAGGTAGCCAAGATGCCGCCGTTTCAGAGGAAAACACTGGTTGTGATTGGAGCTCAGGGAGTTGGGAGGCGGAGCTTGAAGAACAGACTTATTGTCATGAACCCTCTGCGATATGGAACCACTGTACCCTGTGAGTGTGTGAGACAGACAGCCAAGGTAACTAGTAGATTTCCTGTCTGGGTACATGTAACACCTTTCCTCACTTTTTTACCCACAGTTACGTCACGCCGCCCGAGGGAAGAGGAGAGAGACGGCCAGAACTACTGCTTTGTGATGCGGGAAGAGATGGAGAAGGACATCAAGGAGAGCCGTTACCTGGAGCACGGAGAGTACGACGGCAACCTTTATGGCACCAAGATCGACTCCATCCATGAAGTGGTGAACGCAGGTCGCACCTGCATCCTGGACGTCAACCCTCAGGTTAGCCGAAAGCACACACTCTCACTGTTTAGATCGTATTTTTCCTAAATCTTTGGTCTTACCCATTATATTTTCTGCCCAGGCCCTGAAAGTGTTGAGGACTGCTGAGTTTATGCCATTTGTGGTGTTTATTGCTGCTCCTGAACTGGACACACTAAGAGCTATGCACAAAGCTGTGATAGATGCTGGACTTACGACCAAGTTACTCACGGTAAGTTTTGAGGGGATTTAAGCTTCCTAAATACTTTTATAAATGATGATGGACATTTCATTGCTCATGAATGGTTGTTGTGTCCATTATCCATGGGCTGATTCTCTTTCTTTAACAGGAGAACGATTTGAAGAAGACTGTGGACGAGAGTGCCAGGATCCGCCGGGCATACAGCCACTACTTTGACCTGACTATTGTCAATGACAATCTGGACAAGGCCTTTGACAAGCTTCAGGAGGTGGTAGAGCGATTATTCATAGAGCCGCAGTGGGTTCCAGTCAGCTGGGTATACTGATGTTGACCACCCTGACTGGACAGACATGCTGTCCGAGCTCCTGGGCCTGGATTGAAAGGGGACACCTGAAGGGAAGGAGGATCTAACACTGTACTTCACATACAAAGTGTTGGACATCAGTCCTGTGTGAATTTGGGTCTCGCACAAAAAACTGCATCACAAAGCTGAGTCACCTTGATCTGAATTTCCAGATTCCTCTCTAGCACACTATGCAACTCACAACACACAGGAAGTGTACTTATTTATTGGCATAAATATTTTTTAAAGAATACTTTCTATTCATGTGGGATTGGAAGAAAATACTGGCCCCAGTGTCAGTATGTTTTAAAAGCAAATGAGATTTTTGTCATGTCCTGTTTTAATTTTACATCTGTATGTATGATAATGTATTTATTCTGCAAATTGAGGAGGGCTTGCTCATCGAAAAGAATGATACCTCAGTGTCACAGTTTACAGTGCATATGCCTCCAGTAATTCATCTCATTTTGTCGCTACTGTACAAACCTTCAATCTACAAACTCATTCATGTAGTATAGTGTCATATTTTTAAGACCTTTTCCCTCCTCAGGGCTACGTTTATGCCCTAGTGTCTTTTGCAGTTGGACCTCATAAATGGGAAATGTCATGCCAGTCACTGTTTGATGTACAGAAGGAAGAGTAATACTGTAGTGTTTACCCATTATTTCTCTTTCACTCAAGCACAACAGATTACATTAATTATGTTGATTGTTTGTCAGACATTTGGATCATGCTAGTGTTTCTGGCCGTTAGACGCGTCGATATGGTGCTGTGTTCGTGTTTGTTTGGAAGAAAGAAAAACTTTCCACAGGACTCTTGAACAGGGTACTGCATCTCAGTGAACCATCCCTTTTGATGTGATATTACTAAAACTTAACTGTTTTAAATAAAATTCATATTGACTTATAAAAAGGTATATTTTACAAGATTTCAGAAAATATGTATTTTCAGATGTCAAATAAATAACAGGTGTTTTCTAATGATCCGCTTTAGTTTTCCTTGGTTCTTTTGGAAGAATTACTCCACAAACATGTCCTCAACATGTTCGTAAACTGGAAGAGAAAAAATTATATACCAGATAAAACATAAAAAAAATATAAAAATGATCAAATATAGAAACAGTTTAAGGTGATATGTTTTTCTTTTTGCACCACAGAGCTTAACATACAAAAACAATACAGATAAAAGGTAGCATGTTGAATCAATGTGGAATATTAAAAGGCACATTCAAACTCAGACGAGTTTCAATATTCATACACAAATGTGCTCAAGTAATTCAGAATGAGGTTTGTAGTTGGAACATAAACATTTGGAGGACAATGCTATGGATTTGTGTGCAAGTGTCGAACAAAATCTTCAAAACTGACTGATATTTAACAGGAAAATATAGAAGTAAGTTGAAATACAGATAAACAATCTAAAGCCTTAGAGATATAAAATCAGTACAAAATATCACTCAGACCCTTCAGAAATAATTAGTGTATACTTTCAAATGTAAGAGGAACAAGAGATTTCACATAAAAATGTAATTACATGAGAACTCAATAAAAAAAGTCATGCTTCTTCTCTAGTGACATTGCTCAAAATAGGATGGTAAGGGGCCTTTCAGTGAACTCTTATTTCAGAAAATAAAATATGAATATTATATTCAAATAAGTGTTCAGATTGATGCCGATGCCACCAGCAGGTACATAACATGACATAAATGATTTATGATTATAATCAGTTGTTTTTTCCCCTAAAATCAGTGAAAATTTTGTCTTCAAAATGCTTGTTCCACCAACAGTCCAAAATCCATGACCTAAACAATTTGTCAATTGACTGTCTGTTAATTGACCAAAGCATTAATTAATTACACTATTTTAGAAGAAATTCAACAGCACCAAAAAGAGTAAGAAACACTGATAAATAACACTTGATCTATGTGATCCCATTTACCTCATTCCAGTGTGATAGTTAATGTTTCTGGTGGATATAAAATCGTCAATCACAGTGGGACAATGTGGCAAGACCTCTGACAGCGATACACAGGACCAGAGGAAGGTTTCCTGGCTGGTGGTTTATTTCTGTCTTCACCGTGTCCCCATCTCTTCTCAGGGACACATTCGAGGATGCAAACAGATGTTCAGCCTTTTCATAGACATCTTCAGTCAGTGCAGCCAGGCCTGCGCTGCTCAGAGGCAACTCTCCCTTCCTTGATACGCACTGAACCTGGAACAAGTGTGACAGGGAGATAAAAGGCAGCTTCATCAATGTAATGTCTAACAAAAACCAAATATATAACATAATCATTACTACTAACCAGTAGCTCCAGAGCCTGCAACACTGTGAAGCTGCAGCACATCCCCAAGACAGCAAGACAGTCATTTGTCATTTCTGAAAGACCCAGATACAGGATAACTTAGGGAAACTAGGTTTTCAGGACATTCTGCATGCTCCTCCTTCTGACCTTTAAATTTAGTTTTTTTTTTTTTTTTTTTTTTTTAACCACAGATCGACTTCACAGAAGACTTCAAGCAATATTTCACTCAAGTAACAAAGGCTGCACAGCACAGAGCACAGCTTCCTCACCATCCATGGCGCTGACAATGAGGTGAAGGGCTGTGAGGACTGGTGTGGACTGGCCTGCCTGTGTTGACTCCACCTGACCAGACTGCGGCAAAAGGTCCAGAATTGCTTGGATGTTCTGTTTTGGAGACTCTGTGTTATCCGGGGGAGGTCTCTGACCGAGGCACATCTGGTCTAGCTGAGACAGAGGAAGACACCCAGATTTAAAAGCCAATGTAACAGAAGTTGATTACGCTAACTCCACAGTATAACAGTGGCTCTGTATTGACACGCCCTCTCTCTGTCCCACATACCACATTCTGAAGTGAACTGACTGCCTCTCTGTCCTCCATAACTTTTGTGATCTGCTGGAGCAATGACGACCTTGTGGAGACAGGGAGAGCAGAAAGCAGCTGGAAATGTTCACTCAGTTCCTCCAGCTCTGCCAATGGAAAAAAACACAATGGACACACTTATCATTCACCTACGAAGACAAAATATATGCATGCAACAGGTCATTAAAAACTAACACTGAACCAGGGCAGCACAATATGGACTAACTACATAGACAAGCACATGATAACAGTTATGACACCATTCTGATAAGACAGCTCTGGGCTTACAATCTCTAGAGGCCCTAAAAGGAGTTGAAAAGAACATGCAGTTTTGAACACGTCATCAACTGCAACAACTATAGTTACATGTTTCATGGGTGCAGAAAAAACCTGTAATTTACGTTGTCTAAGGTGGCTATTGTCAGAGGCATCCACAGGAGCTCCTGAGGCACCAAACAATCTTTTCCAAGCAGGGCCATCTACTTCAAAACCTCCACTGGTGTATGACATCAGACACATCTCTGTGGAGAACACAACAGGTTACATTTAAAATACCAAGCTATGAAATGTAACAGCAAGAGACTATCCAGCTCATCTATGAATTCAGTGAATGGTTTCTCACCATAGCGTCCATCGTGTTTGATCTCTAGCTCTATAAGGGTATAGGCAATGGTAGTGTGGATGGGAATCTCCATGGTAACGTTACTGTCTTTACTCAAGCTCCCATTCTCCTTCAATGAAACCTGCAGTAGTCACATGAAAGCAAATACAAATTCCAACAAAACTCAGTCAGTTATAAGGTAAATATTTACTCTAAAACAATTTATTCCTGCTGAATAACAGTTGTTGGTGATGCATGCTGCATTTGCCATTTGCTGGTGTATTGCATTCCAAAGGATGTGGAAATGAGTAAACATGTTCATATATTTAGCCCAGTTTTGATTCAGTTTCTCTGAATCAAAGAGCAAAAACTTCTGCCTCCGCACTGAACATTTTACAACTGACAAGAGTAACCAGAGAGGAGAGGAACGAAATTATTAAAGTGGAGGAGGAATCTAATTTTCCACAAATGGTTGGCAGTTTTTCTGTTGTTATGCCAACCATTACACCACATAAAATTACATTTCCTCATAATGAATGAGTTCTTCAGCGCTGTTACTGTACCTTTGAGTTCTTGGGCCCACAGAGGCTCAGCCCTCCTCCACACTGTCCTCCCTGCTGCACCTCCTCTATGACCGAACAGGGCTGAGTGGTCACAATTCGCTCCTTCACAATCCCAAATGCCTGTTTGGGCTTCTCCTTTGTCTGCTGGACCAGACTGTGGGACATGTCCAGGACGCTGTGACATTGAAATCATAAAAAAAACACCAGTTTTATGTTTTACAGGGAACAGTCCTAGAAATATGAGATTTTGTGATTCTATGCATAAATGCAAAAACTATTCACCCTAACCAAAACAAGAAATCTTCTTCTGAGTGTTGATATTCAACTGAGCCTCGTGTTTTGGGTGCAACTTTATGGTTGGACAAAGCTCATTCCTGCTGTTTGCAGATCCTTAACGGACTGCATGTCAGGTGATATTTACAGCGTTTTTCTTTCATTTTAACTCTATCAAACAAACCCCATCAGGCAGGACCTTGGGAACAGGCAGTGAACGAACCTGTCTTTGGAGTCTCGCAGCAGCTTCTGCACATCCACTTCCTCTTTCTTCAAACTGCCAAAAGATGACTGGAGTTTGGAAGAGTCTTTAGCCTGCAGGTTCACATTGGAGTGGGCAAAATTTGCATCCACACTTCCCTGAATGTTGTCACCATACGTCCCGTTGTATTTGATGAAGTCTGCCTCTATGACACCTGTGGACAGTGAAACCTTTATTGGAAATTCTTTATTAGGAATAACCCCTTTGAGTATGATGTACCATCATCTGACAGATGAGACAGAAAGTACACAACTACACAAAAAAGATGTTTCAGGTTTAAAGAATAAATCAACACAAATAAGAATCAGAAGGAATTGACTTTTACCTGGCTTTATAGGCGTGTCCCCTGTTAGTATATCATTGAGGTTAAAGTCAGTGGGAATATACTTGGGCTTCTGCCAGAGCCAGAAACGCTTGCGCTTCACCACCACAGTCAGAAGATCAATAGTGTCATTCAGGCTGGACACCGGGATCAACAAACCTCCATTATCCACTTCCTCCACAAAGTTTCTGGTGGCTGTGGCAAACATCTCTCAGCTGGATAAAACCTGTGAGGATGATAATCCAGGAAATCCAGGTTCTTTTTTTTTTTTTTTAAACCTAAAGAGTGAGTTAGCTGATCAATTAAAGAGCAGAAAGTACCACCCATCCTCCTGGGGCTAAAGACTGACCGAGAACCAGAGGAGTTTCTGATTCAACAATCCTCTCTTCCTTTATTAAAAACACATTAACATTATAACTCGAGAGGAAACTTTCTATTCGGCATATAAAGCAAAATCAAAGGAATAAAGAAAGTCTCTTGCACACATTTCTGCACATTGAAAACGATGCTACATGCTAGTAGCATCAACAAACATCAGTCTTAAGTTGTTCTCATCGAAATCATTGGTTTGCTTGTAGGGCAGAAATATCATCGTAAATGAGAGTAAATGCAAACGCTGCATGTGTCACCGCTTACCCGAAGGACTTTCTTTTAGGGACTGAACCAGACGGGAAACTTTCTTTGTAGCTGAAAGTCTCAGAGGACACAGTACTTCCCCATATGAGTGTCGGCTGCACAGAGAGTCTCCGTCTGTTGTGGACAAAAGACCCACAGACGCTCCGCCCTCCGTCCTGTGGGTGTGTCACTGAAGACCAGTGGCGTGCACAGGGGTGGCCTTTACTCTGCTCTCACGTGGCTGTGTCCCTTGAGGTACACTACAAAAATGCTATGGACTTTTGGATTTCTTTTGTTTGTAGATTCCCAAGTGATAAACAGAGACGTCAGTCATGGGCAATAGCACTCAGAAGAGAGGGGTTTGAGCCAAAAGACTGCACCATACCCTCCTGGGGCTTAGCGGTCACATACGTGGACAGCACCTTTTAGCTCTTATGTCCACAATTGTGTTCACTGCTGAATTGGGGGTGTTATGGTACGTATATGGGGTACTTACACTACCATATGGTGGTGTCAGAAATTTCTAACACACTAAGGTGCCACTACGGTGCCAATTCAAAATGGCGGGAAAATTCAAGTGGTAGCTCCATACACAAACGTCGACCAGGTAAGAAGTTCTGTCATATTTCATGGCTTATTCTGATTTAGATATTTATAAAAGCCTTGTACATTTGTCATGACATGCAAATTTGAAAAAAAAAGTGTAAAAATAGCAACTTTGTAGGTCGCTAAACATGATGTACACATAAGTGTACTTACGGACTGATGCTCCTCAAAACTAACATGCTAGCACACATGTAAAATAAGAAAAAAGCTAACTCTGGTGCAGCTAAAAAGCTGTACATGGTCCCAATGAAATAAATAACAATTAAATCACTAAATACATACATACATACTTAAATTAGTTGGGTTGAAAATGTTACTAAAAATGTGCACATGTAAATTAGCTTACAGCTAACTCTGGTGTAGCTAAAAAGCTGCATATTGTCCCATTGGAATAAATAACAAATAAATAATGCAAACCTACATACATAAATTAATTTGTATTTGATTTTGTCATGTTTTTATTTACGGAGCGTTTTTCTGTGCAAAGAGCATTGGAGCTACCCCCTTTTGGTCGTAAAATCAGCCGTCCCACTCGGGGCTCCTCACAGTACATCGAGCTAAACGAGGGTGAACGTACGACTCGTACGATTTTAAATGCTCCTACACACTGTTTACATTGCTGCTTTAGTCCGGTCACCAGTTTATGCATTGCACGGTGTTGCTGTGCGTGCAATACAATGTAAAGTTTTGTTTTCTAGCTGGTTTGCTAAATAGGCTAATGTAGCTAACAATAACACTAGCCTGCCACTGGAGGCCCCTGGTGGCTCGAGACAAACGCCACAGCACTTGTTGACATTGAAATAGGCGAAAATGGCAAAATATTATTGAAATGTAAGACTTGCAATAACGGAATTACTTGAAATGTTAGTGTTTCTGACAAATGGAACGCTATAAGTGGTACAAGCCAGGCAATTACATCACATTCTTGCGTCAGAGCAACTCGGGTGGGGGATTTACGAGACAAATGGATCGCACCATAAGTCACATTCCTCCTCCAACTCCTCTCCTCTCAAACTCTGTGAAGGTCAATCAATCAGGTGACCTCTGGGCCTCTGTAAGCAGGCCTGGTCCTTCAGTCCTCAGTGATCGCAGCCTTTAACATGTTCCCTTTTTTACATTACCAATTAGAGGTGGGCGATATATATCGTTTGCGATAATATCGTCATCGTTGTTTTGATGATGTGCAAATTATGTCCATTATCGAGTATTTAAATTACTTCGCCAAAAATATTGAAACGCACGCGGAAACTCCTCACAGCCACTTAATACACGGTGCAGCAGCGCTCTCTACAGCATGGCAGGATTCAGTCACACGACTAGTGATCAGGTGACCTCTCGCTACCGTCCTCCTTGCAACAGTTTAGCAGCGCGTTGTGATGGTAGAGAGAAAATGCAAGCACCTCCAGTCCCTGAAGCTACCGATACTTCAGATGATTTAGTGCCAAGACGTGGGTCTACCTCTCTGGCATGGAAATGGTTTGGTTTCGAAAAGACTGATTAGGGTCTGTGTCCACCAAACACGTTTTTAGTGCTAGCAGCGCCTATTTTGAATACAAACTCCTATGGGCTTCAGCGTTCAGAGCGCTAAGCTCAGCGGTAAGAAGATGTCAGCAGAGACGTTTTTTAGCGCAGCGTTCAGAGCGCTTCAAGTTGAAATCTGTACAACTTTTAACGCTGCTGGGCACTCGGAAAATGAGTTTTTGAGAGCTCCCAGCGCTAAAAACGCGTTTGGTGGACACAAGCCCTAACTTAGACAATTCCAATCACAAGGATATCGACTGATTAACGTTATCGCCAAAATCCCCCAAAATAACGAGAAATTATTTTTTGCCCATATCGCCCACCCCAACAAATTTCACATGAGCTATTCACCTACTATGATGTTTTTTCATTTTTTTTCCCACTATGATGTTCAAAACACATTAGTAGCTTAATAGTTTTTTTTAAAAAACAGTAACCATTTAAAATGCTTTGAATGTTTTATATTTTGATACAGACATACAATGTCATCCTGCAACTGTTTTAACTGTCCAAAATGGGCAAAAAAAAAAATTTTACTCTCTGATATTCAAAAAATGTTCAAAAAATATGTGTGTATGTGTTAGTAATACATTAAAAAACAGTCAGGAAAAAACTGCTGTGTTCAAGGTGGAAATAAAGAGTTTTTTATTCTATTACACAAAGGTGACTTTATTGTGTTTTATGGAAATTCGGACCATGAATCCACATATGTGGACATCAGTTTTCTCTAAAAGTACATCATATCAAAAGATGATACTTAGTTTTTATTCTAATTAGGTTTCAATAAGCCCAAATAGCAAAGAGAAATAAAAAATGCATGTAAAAAAACAGCTTGGGCCTTAGGAGGGTATGCAGCAGAGTGGACAGACCATCCATTTTTAAGTTTCCTGATCATCTTTCAAAAGTTTGTTACAGCATTTTTTTTATCACAACATTTTGTAATTGATGATACGTGTTCAAAACAATTTCCCTTTTCTCCAGCAGCCTAGTTCATCCAGGTTAAGCAGAACGTCAAACAAGGCAACTGAAGAATCTCCACACCCATGGTCCAACACACCTGTCAGGGGATCTGTAGGACCAGACCTCTTTCATCAGTCAATCTCAGTAAGTGAAATGATTTATCACCTTTGGATGCTTGGTGGATGTAACAGTGACATTTTTAGAAGTTAGGAGACAGGATTGAAGTTACTGAGTTTGTAAATATTTTTCAGGATCATCAGTATGCCCATGACCCGGTGAAAGCAAAAGAGAAGTTGGCTGTGTATCAGGAGAACGTGGAGAAGTTACGACGGGACTTGAGAAATGCGAAAGACAGGGAAAGAAGACAGTGAGCTCCTTGTTGGTGCATTTAAAAAAAGAACAAGATGCTAACAGAGGAACTGGAGCAAAAGCTGGATTTCTACTCTGGTTGGTTGACTCGGTTCTCCCTCTCTCTCTTTGCATGTGTAGCATTTATAATTTTGTAGTAGTATGTCTCATCTCACCCATTTTGATTACCGTCTCAATATTGTTCTTGATTACTTACCTGAGAAATGTTTTTCAGTTGGTTGTAGAAAAAAAATGCATCTGAACAAGTTGTCTCTAAATCAATCTGAAATATGTTTATTTATATAATTATTTCCCTGAACCTTCCAGACCTTCCAGTTGAACTGTTCAAGCACGACCATGCCTTCACTCCTGCTCAACAGGAATTTGCTTTAACGTTGCATTTGCATGGACCTAAAGCCTAAACTTACTTGAAGGAAACCATGAAGATACCACTCCCACATCCTCACACTCTTCTAAAGTAAATATAATATTTTCTACAACTTCACATTTGGCAGAAATAGATGAAACTGATACGTCAATATGTGTTCTGTTGTTTATTGCTTTACCTGTAACAGATGGTTGCAGACTGTGGACGCTAAGCCTGGGTTAAACACATGGCTCTTAGACATGCTACAGAGACGGAAAAACGAAGACCCTGTTAGGTATGGTCGAGTGTGTTTTGTTTTGGATGGCATGTCTATAAGGAGACAAGTGCAGTACGACTCACACAAACAGACAATGATTGGTTTTGTGGGTCTCGGCAGTGGAATAGATGAGACCAGCGTGGCAAGTGAAGCCCTAGTGTTTATGGTAGTTGGATTACAAGGTCACTGGAAAATGCCCATTGCCTTTTACTTCATAAGCTCACTTAGACCAGATACACAGAGAATTTTGCTTCTACGCACCTTGGAGGCACTTCATGAACGCAGCATCAAAGTTGTGTGCGTCACAATGGATGGACATATATCAAACATTTGTACATGTGTACGATGCCCGGATGCCAGATAAAGCTGAATCAGCCTCTCAAGACATATTTTGCTCACCCTTCTTCAGGGGAAAATGTGTTCATGATCATGGACCCTTGCCATATGTTAAAATTGGCTACGAACATGTTGCAAGCTTACAACTCAATCGTCAGTCCCGCAAGAACAGTTAAATGGAAATACATATCAGAGTTGAATGATGTTCAGGAACACAATTAAGGGTCTTCATGCGGCCAACAAAATTACCAGAAAACACATCAACTTTGAGGGGCAGAAAATGAAGGTGTCAGTGGCAGCCCACACACTTAGTCGATCAGTGGCGATGGCTCTTCGCATGCTCATGAAAGCTGGATACCCGCAGTTTGAAGAATGTTCTCCTACGATTGAATTTCTTCAGGTAATTGTTATTTATTTGTTGGAAATTAAATGTGCAAAAAGTATGATAATGGAATGATAATTGTTTTCTAAAGGAGGACATTTCTGCTCTTGTCCTAAATCTTCAGCTTCATCCCTCAGCTGGTGGTTCAAGCACTTAATCCTTTTGAACAGTCTTTTCTCTCAGCAAATGCCTCTGGCATCAAGATGGTCTTTGCTCAATCAACTTTTTCCCTTACCTAACAGCAGCTGATTCTTCCAGGCTACCACACTAACACAGAGATGCCAGTCAGTCATGCCTCCTAACCTAAAGCCTGTTCTCCCCAAGGCAGGGTTGCTATATCCTGTCATTCTCCTGAACAAGCAACCAACTGCTAACATCTGCTCTTTCCTAACAGGTCTACCTTTCCCTCAACACAGTGGTTAGTGAGCATTAGATTAGTTCACACGTCTTGTTTGTAGAACCTTGCATTGTAATTGAGTTGAGTCTGGGTTTCATCATCTCAATGATGGCCCTGTCTATGGACTGTAAATCATAACCAGCTATAGTAAGGAATATTTATGTTAAAGGTGATTGACGGAGTGTTCGACATTATGAACAGCAAAAAGTCTGCTTGCTGTTCCAGTGTTGTTTGGTTCTCTTAGCGAAGTGTTTACTTGAAAAACACGCGGACTTCATTTCAGAGAAAACCTTTGGTAATTTATTAGGTTATTTCCTTCATTCCACATCAATAGGTCTACCTCATTGCTATCTTTCTCTGGCTTCTATCCTTTTACTCAATGTTCTTGTGACTTTATTACAAATGTTCTCAACAAGGTCACATTGCATAGCCTACATTTTACATGCTCAGATGGGTGATAAATTAAAGGGAAAACTTGGATAAATGAGTAGAGAGATTACACATGCACTGCATGCAAGAGACTATTTGTTAAAATGTTCTTTATTCCTTTGCAAAAAATGCATCAGATTGATACTTTAAAATATGGAACATTCAAAATTTTCTTCAGGGGGACGATGCCCCCGGACGCCCCTAGAGGGGTAATATCCTTCTAACCTTTTTCACCCCTGACCTGTTTTCAGAGAGAGAGAGAGAGAGAGAGAGAGAGAGAGAGTATTTTGTCCCTTAATGTCGTCAGCTACAGGCTGTAGCTAGATTGGTAAAGCACGCAAGAGGCACCAGGAGACCAAAAGTATTTATTTAATCACAGCAAATAAGTAATGCTATTACAGTCAACAGCACATAATATCCCAGATGTAGGCTGTAACCATATGAAATGAATGGTGTGGGCGCCGCCGACAGTGGGCATGAGTCGGTCCGGATGATGGTGGTGCAAAGCTACAGTATGTACCTCCAGAGTAAAAACAGCTCAGGGTCTTGGATTTCTTAATTTTGCTTTTGTGAAATACCTCTCTGCGCAGCGCTGCCAGATCAAACGTCATTTTCAGCCAATTTGGTCTGTACAGAATTATAATTTTTTTCAGTCTGAATATAACTGGGATTGATAAAGTCGTACTGAAACAACAACAGTTTTTAGGAGATATTGAAGTGTGAAATGCTGACTGAGGCTTTTGGCATCCTAATGTGGATGACTGAGACTAAGGCTCAATACAAATTACCCCATGTGTCTACTGTCATAAGTGTCATAACTGTCAGGCAGTTTAAGGAAATTGTGCATATCAATGAAGTTTTCTGACAGGAGAATGATGTAACTATTAAACAACTACCATTGTTTGGCGGTTTGGTCCATTTTGCAGTGTCTCCTCCGCACGGTCCAGGGCCTCCATGGTGTGGAGGGGCAGCTCCAAGGGCTCCAAGGAGGCCAGTCCCGAGGAGCCAGACTGTCCACACCTGCAGGAGTGGCCGAATTGCCTGAACTCCTCCCGCAAGGCCTTTACCTCCTTGGACAACTCCGTCATCGCAGTGAGAAGTTTCTGCATAGCCACATCTATTGAAAATATTAACATTTGAATGCAAAAGCTGACACCCTTTTACTTAAAATTTTCAGAGGGTGTTGAACAAAGAAATGTATCATCAAAACTACTTAAAGCAGTCAGTGTAATGTTTAATGTTTTTAATGTTCTTTCATCATCATTGACATACACTAATGTTCAAAGGTTTGGGATCACTACTAATTTTTCTGTTGGGCTTCATTATAGTAAGCCTGATGAAATAGTAAACTGGAAGGCTTCAGGATTATTATGAGTGGTGTAAAATCGACCAACAGGTGCTCAGCATGTATGACTCTTAGGACTGTTGTAAAACTATTTCATGAGGCTGTTTATAATGAAGTCAAATGGTAAAATGAACGGTGATTCCAAACTTTTGAACAGTTGTGTATATTTAAGCAATGCCATTGGTTTAAGCTAAAAGTTGACAGGTGGTAAATCCTTCAATGATTCAAAGCATTGAGGAAAGATTTACACAATGAAATCCTATGATAGCCTTAGAACATAACATTCCTGTACTTGCCTTTTAATGCCACTCTGGCAGTGCCTGTAGAATCTGTAACAAATATGAAGAGAGAAATTAAACCATTTGACTGGATATACTGCATTTGGTTTGAATTTTGAATGTTTGAATTGACATTAATTACTTCTTTTTAAAAACATACCTTCAGGAGATGGCCTCTGGAGTAGAGGCATTGGACCGAGTGGAGAGAAGGCCAATTCATCTCCAGGGAACGATGCTGGGAAAGGGACATTGGGGTAAGTCAACTTAGGGGAGTTGGGGCGTTGGAGGGTCTGATATATCCTTGGAGGTGATGGCTGGCTTGTTGGGTTCCTGGTTTGTTTAAAGAAAAAAAATATGTGGGGTGGGGGGGTGAGAAAGGTGGTTAGGGGCAGATATGTGCATAATACATAATTAGATTCTCTATTCTCTGTAAAAGCTTACTTTGTTATGCGCTCGCGCACACACCCACACACACACACACACACACACACACACACACACACACACCACAATGTGGCTAACTATACCTGGAAATAACACTTTGGGGACTTGGGCGAATCTGTGCACATCCTGGGGCTCCTCATCCTCATCCTCATCCGAATGATAAATTGGATTGTCAACACATGTCAACAAATTGTTAAATTGTTAAAATGCACATGTCAACAGCAAATGGTTGAAACCGCTTATATGTTTGCTTTGGACAAAAGCATCTACCAAATATAAACAAATGTGTGGAACTGGAAATTGGACATTCACTATTACCTTCTTTTTCTTTTTAGGCCATGGTGGCTCTCCCCCTCAGACTGGATGTCGGTGGTGTCGCAATCTTCATTGATATATCGATCCAGGCTCCTCGCTGCCTCATCATGACTATCTCCAAATACAGAATAACAAGTACAGTCAGAGAAATATTGTCAGACAGGGGTATGATTCTTATTGTCAAGAGCAAATGTGAGAACACCCACCACGAGTTATGAGGAGACGGATTGGTTGGTATGTGTGCCATCCATGTCCAGGCTGTTCTAGATTCAGGATGGCTGCATTCAGCCTAATAGAGTCCTTATGAGGGTATGGGGGCCAGAAGACTTTTTCCCCTTCAACCTATGTCTTAGGCACAATTTCAGTTGCACCACTGCTGAACTTTATAACGCACCACTGGGTCATTTTTTTTTTTTTTTTTTTTAAGGCAAGGTATTTCAAAGAGTGTATAGAACACAAAGCCCACCAAAATTAACTTATAAACTGATAACACTGATGAACAGATGAACTAACTGCATGAACTGATTATATGAACTGATTTGGACATTTTGGACATTTTAATTGGTATGAATGATGGGAATGGCGATGAACTGTCTTTTGTCAGGGTAAAGTATGTACTTTTTGCCAATGTGCTGAAGCCTCGTCACACTGACATTCTTGCTCAACCCCCAAATTGTATATACCCCAATGTTTGCAGATGGAAAGGGATACTCGCCATAGGACTCTTTCTTGGTAAACTTTTGAAGAATGATGTAAGTCTCCTGAACTACCCTGACAATGTTTTCAACAATGGTAATGTCATCTACAATTTGAAAACAGTTATCCCCAGACCTAGATGATAACGTGTACTTTTCCGTAACAAGCTTACGGTACTGATCTCCATAACTTAATGAAGAAATCAACGGACCATCATAATGAGAATGCATGAAATTTTGTCCATTCTTCACAGTGTCCGAGGTCGGTGCAGGTGATTCTGAGAGCCTTTTTACTACTTGCTGTAAAGGCAAGTGAGGCTTGCGCAATAGGCGCTTCAGTTGTGCTAAATAATTATCATACGGAAATGCAGATATGTTACATACAAACAGACGGTATTCTGACGCCAAGTGTGTCAGCTGATGGACATGGTAATTTCATCTTTCCCATATAGCTGCCCAAAGTGAGTTACGAATGAAGTCAACAATCCCTGAGCGCAATTAATCAATTCTTCTGATGGACCAGAAGACAACAGCAGATGCATGGCCACAGAAAGTAACATAACGTTTTCATAAATTTCAAGGGCAATGGTATTTTTCAGGACTACTGGGCCAGCATAAAGCATGAAATATCGAAGCTCTGTAGCCTTCCACCGATCTATTTCAGAGAGGTGCCTGGGTTTCCAGCTGAACTCAGGAGTGTAAGGTCCTAGTCCCTTCAGTTTAACTGAGATCTCTTCGATTGATTTACAGGACAACCTAGTTGCCAGTGATTTGCCCGTCATCCAAATATATTGCAACTTCCTGGTTACCCCAAGACAGCACTAGTGCATATAATCTAATGGGAACATTGTCACCATTTTGACCAGACTAGCTAGCGGGGACAGTGTTTGCTTTAGGTGGTGTTCATCATCAGTCATAGAGTTGAAGTCTGTCGGTCCTCAATCTAACATTGATTTCCGGATATGTCATCTTGTTTTGCCATTCACCCACTTGGAAACACTTGTCGCAGCCTGAATAACCGTTGTGGCTTTTTATATTTTTAATAAAGGCTCGTGCTGGAGCATCACATATAAACGAGCACACTTCTGCCATTATCTGCTGCCCATTGTAACAAATACCATTTTTTAGAATGCCACTAAGGTCCTCAATAAATGGGCCCAAGAACTCAAAGACACTTTTTGGTTTGGTAAAGCCACAGAAGAGGCCGACAAGGAATGGTGATCTGCTGTAATCAGCATTAATGGTTGCCAGAATGGGCCAGAACTGAGTTCTGCTGCTTCGGAATAGTGGTAAACCATCTATACTAAACTGCAGCTTAATTGTGGTCAAATTAGCAGGCAGCTTCAAAGACTTAAGTTTTGACATCAATCCTGTGGCTAGGCTAAAGTGGTAATATTCCCCACCCTCCATTTTCTTAGTTTTTATTTCACCTTGTGTCCTGAGAATTGTCCGAGCATCTCTTGGAAATTCTGGGTGAAACACTCGCAAAATGCTCAAGAGTGCAGTCAATGCTGCTATTGAGACAGAAAAGGAAAAGGCCCAAAATCTTAGACTTGTCACTAACTCTGATGTTGGAGCTTCAGCATCAGAATCATCTGATTCTGAATCAACAGGCCTAGCTGATGGACAGTCCAATGACAAATGGGTCTCACTGAATGCTGACCTCTGCTCATGTTCCCCTATACCTGGTTGGTCCACAACAGAGTGGCTGGAGACTGAAACACCTGACTCCCATGCTACACTTGGGCATTTAACATGTTCCAGTTCTGCGACAGAGTGGCCTTGCATGTTGGGATCAGTAAAGGTTTTCTCAAACTGCTGCAGGATTTCTGACTCTGTGGCCCTAAGCATTGATTTAATTTTCCGCCTCTTTGACCAGCGTGATGTCATTGTGCAAGTTGTTTGTAGAAATGAAATAAAAAATATTGTTTTGCTTCATTTGTGTGCAATAGTGATCTGTAAGAGAACAGAAAAGACAAAAAAAATGTAGGTACCAGAGATTCAGTGAACTGCGAACAGGTGCGCGTGCCAGAAGGGAACGTGAGTGCATGGAAACATTAGCGGGAAGGGCCTTGTATCACCAGTGTCTTTCTCCGGGAAGGTAGGGGAATACCATCACCTGATTGGTTTACAAGCAGTTCGCTTCGCTTGTGTTTTAATATTTTCTAAGTTACCCAGGAGCTATGTTGACAGAGGCTTAGCTAACGTTAGCTACAGCTTGATGTATTGAGTCATTGAACACAGCAGGAGAGAACGCAACGTTAGCCAGCTGGAAAATGATTCGCTAACGCTACCGTTAACGTTAGCCTAACATTAGCTAGATCTTGTTACTAAAGTTAGCTGCTAGCTTGTATAGCTAACGGTAAATCACAAAAAAGAAATAATAAAATGTATTAAAATCTGAATTACATAACATTGTATTGGCTGTCAATCATGATGGAAGAGTAGACAAGTTAAGTTACAGCATGTCCACCATCTCTTGTGGGGGTTATGCATTAAGCCACATTGTGCCTCAGATACTGTAAATGTTAGACCCAGGGACAGGCTGGCTGACAATGGCTTGGATAATACTGAGTAAGGAGGCCATAATATTTTTGACTCATGGCTGAAGTTAAGTTTCTCCAGCTCTCCCCAGGTTGGCAAAAAATACATCAGATTAATGCTTTAAAATATGGAATATTAAAAATGTTCTTCAGTGTAGCCCCCGGACCCCCTAGAGGGGTTATATCCTTCTCACCTTTTTCACCCCTGACCTGTTCTCATGCCTGCTTTCATTTGAAAGAGTAGCCGGCAGGCTGCACTATGCTAGCGTCGGCACCAATGTATCTGCCTACTTAGCAATTGGTATAATGGTACAGATATGTATTTCGAGCTAGCTATCACAAAAACAGACTGGATTCGGAGGTTTTGCTAACTTATTGTAACCTGTTGGAAGTGAACGACGATAGCCATCAGCACAAAGTTACATTAACTTTTGCAGAATTTCACATTGATTTAACAAAATCTATTTCAATGACTGCAGTACTGCGTGGGTTACTACACTAACCACCATGTTAATGAGTAACAGTATTTGATTTGGTACAATTCATTCATATCGAACATTACATAAGCAAGCTTACCTGATCGTATGGGTCAAGGGTCCAGAAATGAGATGTGTCCAGTGCAGTACGTTGGTCTACCACCCGATGATCTCCAGGTCAACCAAAAATGGATGGATTTTCAATCATATTTCCTGGTCAACTATATGTCGATGGCTCTTCAACAACGGCCGTTTCCCAGTCAACTCTAAATCAATGACTTTTCAACACATTGGCAGTATCGCCCGGTAAACCAAATATGAATGCTTATTCAATCATAAAGATAACAATAGATCAATGTTGTTCCAGTGTTGTTGCCATCAACATTAATAACATCAGGTTTCATCGATATGGTAATGGTGATTCAACATTTATTTTGCATTGAAATTTCAATATCAACCATAATGATGATTCAGATGGAAAATCAATATTTATTCAATGTTGGCTTGCTGTGTATGCCTCCTAGTACTAGGCATTACATTTTGAAGTAGATTATATTAATATCAAAAGCTTAAATTTTCTCTGGACTCGATCATAAATACATGTCTGTCAGTTGGAACAAACCAAAAAACTAAAAAATCGCTTATACTACTTTTGTACTTTTACTCAGATTAAACTTTTACTGCAAGACCTCCACTTGTATTTCTACAGGGTGGTATTGCTACTTTAGGCAAGTAGAAGATCTGAGCACTGTTTCCACCACTGGTGAAATGTCACTGATGTCTTCGATAGCTATTTGTTGCCACCTAGTGGCTGGACAATGGCACAGTGAAACGTGTTGGACGAGAAGAGGCAGTAACTAACTGCACCAGTCATATAAGGATAATTATTTGTACACAGATTCTCTGAATTACTGATTTTAATGACCCTGTGTCTTTTCCCAACCTTGGGACAAATATTTTCTACCCATTAACTGGTAAGACTCCAGGGAGGGCAAAGTCAGCAGCATCCTTTTCCTTCTCTTCAACACTTCTGTAGTTTCTGATTTTCTGAACCTTTACTTGTTTCCGGGCTGCATAATTAGTATATTATCCCTTGGTTATAGCAAAGCAGAACATACAGTAGTATGTACAAGAAGTAAGAGATACATAACAACATTAACCACAGTGAAGTGGCTAAATCACAAAGTTGAGTGTTTAGCAAAAAGGCAACTTGAGGCTGTAAACACCCAACATCTGTGTGACACAGTCCAAATAAAAACATTGTGTGGTGCACATGGTATTTATGTCAAGGTTCCTATTTAAGAAACACTGTCAAGGTCAAACCATGAAATCTCCCTGGTAGGAGGACCCCAAAACCTGCAGCCCTGAG